CCAATGATCCCTATTCATTTGAGATGCAAATTTGGATTACATAGTGTTTCCCTTTCAAGTAACATGGGTGAAGTTGGCGGCCATTTATTTCTATTTTCAAAAGAGAAATTTAGAGAATTTACAGATTCAAGTGAAGTGAAAAAAAATCTTATAAATTAGGCACGAGTTGTGGTTAGGGCGGGCCCTAGGCCTAGGCCACTTAAGTGGCTAGAGCCCTCAATATTTTGGGGCCCCAAAACCTTTAAGTTAAATGCCTTTTTCAGTGAGATGGTTTAAAGTCAAATAGCTCAATGAAGTCACAAGCCAAACTAAAGAATTGAGACTAGGAGACTCCTACCACACATGGCCCATGAGGAAATGTGAGCTCAACTATTCCATTTGTTTTAAATTTTAATAATCCCTCGAACGGTTAGATGTAGTCTTTCACTCTCTCTCAATGTCTAAGGCACTCTCTCTCTCTCATACACGCACGGACAGACATATAAACAAATAAAATGCAAATGATTGTTAAATGAACTAATGGAGCATTCGAAAAAAATATTATCAACTGGAATGTTTTAAAAATATAAATCATACTACTTTTATTCAATATAGTTTTAGAATATTAAAAATAGATAAAATGCTTTTGACTCTTAATTTAGTTTTAGAAAATTAAATTATTTATTTGATGAAAATTTTGAAAAAATATGGTCTTAGCCTTTATGTTTTTTAAAAAACCATGACTTATTTTATAGTTTAATTTATTTTTAGAATTTGAGGTCTTGAGAAACTTCACATATAGAAACCCTACACGCTAACACTAATATAATGATGGAAAATAATACATAAAAAGATAGATTATTTTTCAAATATCTCCATTATTTATTGACTAATGTAAATAATGTCATTAATAGTTATTATATGTGAAAAAGCAAAAATAAAAATAAAAAATTTATCAATATTATTATTCAATATATTACTCAAGTATATATTTATGGGACTTCGTTTTAACATTTTGCCAAGGGCCCCCCGTTAATGTTGAGCCATCCCTAGATGTAGTTGTCAGGCTCGTGCCATTTTTACCGTGAAAAATGGTGTGTATGAGATATCACAAATTTTCTCTAAGTACAATCACTCTTTTGTTGAATCTAAACAACACTTGATGAGATTCGCCTGAAAGATACAAAATACGAATAAAGTTGTTATTAAATCAATGGTTGACACTAGTATAAGAGCTACAAAAATATTTTCTTATCTAATAAATGAAGTTGTTGGGTATCAAAATATTGGATTTATTAAGAGTGATTGTCATAACTTTATATAAACTGAAAGGTCAAAAAAATTCAGTCGGCTATGGTCAAAGTTTGATTAATTATTTCAAGCACAAGCAACCAAAAAATTTCTTGTTCTTTTTATACTATGCAAGTTGATGAGAAAACCAAATGATCAAATTTTTTTGGAGAAATGGAATATCAAAATTGGATTATGAGGTTTTCAGAGATGTTATCTTTGATGCCACTTATCGTATAAACAGATATAACATGATATGTACTCCATTTGTGGGAGTAAACCATCATTGAAAAAATATGTTATTTGGTTATGTTTTTTTATGCGATGAGACAACTGCTTCATTGGTTTGGTTGTTTGATGTTTTTTTAGAGTCCTTGGATCATAAGGCGCTGAAGACTATTTTTACAAATCAAGATCATTCGATAGCAAATGTCATTGCAAAGGTGTTTTTGAATACTCATCACCACTTGTGTTAGTGACATATATCAAAAAATGTAACTACAAATATTCATTCTCTTTATCGTGAACCTGGTTTTAGTGACATGTTTTCTTATCTTTTATATATTTGTGACTATAATAGTGATTTTGAAGAAAAGTGGACTGAAATGATGGTAATTTGGGATTGTCTGAATGTTTCATGGCTTCAAAAATTGTATAACCTTCGTGAAAAATGGGCTCCCACATTTAGTCGTGATACATTTTCTGACAACATTAGCTCAAGTTAAAGGAGTGAGATATAAATAATATTTTTCATATGGCTTGTAAGACAATGACTTGGATAGAATTTGTGCATCATTTTGGACACACGAGATTTTTGGATTATTTCAAGATGAGTTTTTACAATGTGTTTCTCAAAAGGAGGTTCAATTCAGACATGACAACACAATTCATATGTCTAAGATAAGAAATAAGGGTGATGATCGAGACTATATTGTGTAGTTATAAAAAATTTGGAGTCACTAAGCTGGTTATGTCGTCATGCATTAAGGGTATTCAATTTGAATGGTATAAACAAAATTCTCGAACAATAGATCTTGAAAAGATGGACCAAAAATACAAAGAAATGGGTGGAACTTGGTATGACTGGTATTTTGTTGCCAGACAGTAGTGGAAATTCATTTTCTCGAACAATATATCTTGAAAAGATGGACCAAAAATATAAAGCAATGGGTGGAACTTGGTATGACTGGTATTTTGTTGCCAGACAGTAGTGGAAATTCATCTCGGACATTGCCCTTAACAAGTTAATGCGGAAGGCATTTAGTGTTATAAATCTTAATGCGAATGATGATGCAACTGTTAAAATTGCAGAAAATAGCATGGATAACGGTGCACAACAAGTGAAAAAAATACAAGCCAACTTTTATTAGGGAAAAATACAATTGATGATGATGACGAAAACATTCTTTTAAAAATTTCTTGTATGCCAGTGGTGGATTCTCAACGAGTAAGACAGAAAGGAAAAATTTATGGTAGGCTAAAAAACTTTTGGAGAAGAAAAAGGAAAAGACATCAAAGGCAGATGCATGTACATCTCGAATGCGACAACCTATGCCAACTATGTCTTCAAAGTCTACAAATTACCCTTAGAGTATTAGGGACCCATTTCCTGTGATGTACATGATTATAATTTATATCTCAATTTTTTTGTACAAGGGATTATAATTCGTGTATTTTTTTTTTTTTTATATTTATCCCTTTGTTTTTATACTTTTATCACTTGAAAAGTTAGATAAACAATTATTTTTTTTTTTGGGTGATTATAAGTAATTTTGTTAAAATAAACTTTAAAAAATAGTGGTTAACTATTGAAGAATTGATGAGGAGTTACAAATGACACATGGTAAAATCTAATTGGAGGGAACATTAGGTTTTAAATTAAAAAATTAGAAAATGAGGAGGAAAGACTAAGTCCTCTCACCTCTAAATTGTTTGTTAGCTTTGTTGTTGAATCTTTTCAAAGATAAGGGATGTCATGTTATTATGTAAATCTCAAGAACTAGCCCAATTGTTTTTATAAACTTAAGGGGTTGCAAGTGAAATTTATCCTCATTTTTTTAACAAGAGTAATTTTGCCATGTTTGAAATTACATTGTTCTCGCTTTTCCGAAATTACACTATTCTCCTTCTCAAGGATCAAAATTTTAATTTGATATATTGTTTTGGTCACTTAAACAATAAAAAACATTTCAAAAATATTTCTTCAACGTTTCAGAAATATATCAAAAATAAATACAAAAATTGAGAATTTATTTTAAAAATATTTTGAATGGTAGAAATATACAAAAAAATATCTTAAAATACCTCAAAATATTCTGAAACAATGGTGTATACATGCCAAAACATCTCGAAACATTTTGAAACATTCTAAAATACCTTAAAGTATTGAAATTTAGATTTCATCACTGACTCTTTCTCCCTCCTTAAAACAGAAACATTTCACATATTTCGAAACAAAATTTTAATCTTTGCTCCTTCTCAAACTTTTTCCCGTAATGTTCGTTTTTCTCATATGATAATCTATTAATGGATGATTTTTCCTTAATATATACTCATGATTAACAAATAAGTCAAAAATAAGTTTCATTACAAGATTAGACACTAACAAAGTTATTCTCCTACTCTTGAATCAAAATCAATCATTTTCGGCCATTCTTTCAAATTAACTAACAACTATTTGACGATATCAATTTAATAAATTTGCGATAAAACTCATAAGCTTTCGACCAATTACCTACTTTAGTCCTTGTGTTTTTAAAAATTTAGAGTCGAAGATTTGGAGGACAAGAAGATTACTTTCATTTGATGAAGTTCTTAAACTTGTTGCAGAATTTCTATATACAAATCACCTAATCATCCTATTCTCTTTGCCTGCTGATTAGAAAATACGAGTTTTGATGAGAATTTTTGTAATATGACGGTAAACCTCTTATGTCAAATGCATACCACCCCAACTAATGTATCAAGTCGAGTTAAGGCAAGCAGGCACACCACGAGATTCACAAGTCCTGTTCTCATCATAGATGTATAACCCCCAACTCCACAACATGCTCTTAACACTGATTTTTCTTCAAACTTGCATAAAAGCATGATTCCACCTTTTTGAAACACTGGGTGATTAATATTCACTTGGCCCAAAAGTCCAATAACCCGTAGACCGAGCACAGCACTACGTTTTGCGGGTGAAGAGTCCAACGGCCCGAAAACGTAGTCCCTAACGATACAATATTGACGCATTGGATATTTTTGAAATACATTAGAATATGTAATTTATAAAGATTGAGGCTTTGAATTGGCCCCAATGTGCATATAGTAGCCATGAATAATTTAAATATAGTTTAAAAAACAGGTATAACTTTAATCTTCTTTTTTGATAGGAAAACTTAACTTTCATTTCGTAGAAAACGAAAGATGCATAGTTTTTTTTTTGGTCAGGGGAAGATGCATAGTTCAAAAGTATACATAGGTGTAACTTTATTCAACTTGGGTCAACTCAACGAAACCTTCCTTATAATTATTTAAGATCGACACATCAATCTTATCTCTCCACTGTCCTCTATCACAAGTCATATTTTTTGTAAAACAATATACAGTACCTTCACAGGACTACCATATATAAAGTGAGATGCTCAAACTCAAAAACATCGAGGGCCTATGGCAATTGGCAAATGAGATGAGAAAGCTTTTAAGTAAGAGAGATGGCACAGAGTACTAATCTTAGTAACGTTTTTGTAGTGTAGAAAAAACCTTTGCATAACCCAAATCTCAGAACAACAGGACAACAACAATGAACAAATATTTTGCCATGATACCAAAAGAAACAATAGATTATAAGTAAAAACATATGTACAAACCAGAACTGTTACATACATCACTGGGTTTAGCTCCCCTCCAACCCAGATGTCAGTAATCCGAAAATGCCTTCATTTTCCTTGTGAGAGGCCTTTGATCTACCGTCCTGATTAACAAGAAGAATGACAGCAGCAAGAAGAAGAAGAAGAAAATGACATTACGTTTTAACCCATCAAAAGGAGGGCTTCACGAGTGCGACCTAGAAGACTCAACGCTGTGGCAGCAATGTGGTGTCCAGTCAGCCCTGCACTAGCAAGTTGTTCATTTGGAGATCCATGCTCAATGTAGCTGTCTGGTAAAACAATCGGTCGCCACTGGGTAATTTAATTTGGAGAAGGATTAGAAACAAGATCAAATTATAAACTTCTTAGAAGATGGAAAGTGATGTTTAAATTTTAATTGAATCTTTTGCATAATCAATCAGACCAGACAAGCAATTCAAGATAGAAGATGGAAGGTGATGTTTAAATTTTAATTGAATCTTTTGCATAATCAATCAGACCAGATAAGCAATTCAAGAATTCTAGCCATCTACATATCTATCAGGAGCCTCAGAATGTTAGGAAGTCTGACCAATACGCCAAAAACCCCAGGACAGAAGGAATGCGTTAGATCAAAACTCTTAAACTCAAGTCCCATACCTCGAGTAGGCCACACCTAGGTCCCATACACCAGTCTAGGTCCCACCCAGGATCATAACACAGAATTATGCCTACAAAGTACTTACTAAAAAAAGAATATTACACCGGAGCAGCAGTAGGTCGAAGACCAAATCAACCAAATTGTCCTGGTGAGTTGATAATAAATAAAGAAGTTGCGATCCATAAGGTAGGTAGGGATCATCAAAACAACAAACCATCCAATGGAAAGACGGTTTCCATTGCCGGTTATCCAATTACAGAAGGGACCCCATAGGCTTAGGCTTTCGCTTTCATGTCTCTCTAAAATTGTAGTCATGGTAACTATACCTGGAATCACAGTCTCTCTATCCTCATTATTACAACAAGCATTTCTCTTTAGTCAAAAGGCCTGTTAAACAGTTCTGATGTGTGGGAGAAGGTTACTAAATACCAACGTGTCTAATCTACACTGTCTTGGTATATTAGGGACGAGAGAGGGGGCAAAATTAGTTATTAGGAATTCTAAAAATAAATCACCAAGATGGGAGAGGGCCAAAACTGGATATTGGAATTTCAGAAACTAAACCACGAAGGTGGGAGGAAAAAAGATTATTTATTTATTTTTGTCCCATCATGGTTGATATCGTTTCTCCAGAACGAGGCATGAAGAGGTGGAGAAAGTGGTAAACCGATTTGGAAAGGACACTAAATATGTGCTCTGGGTTTTCTCCAGTATAATTGAAGGCAATCCCGTTCCCTTCCCCTTCATTTTCCCACGGAATCAAACAAAAGGACAAATTTGCCTATTTGTTACTCCTTTTCGTATTTTGACAATTATCCCCTCTACAGCAAAGACAGTCTAGTTGGCAATACGACTTCTTTTCGTTGTCACATGTGGTCTTGGAGAAACCTATTCAATCACTAATAAGAATGTAGCTTCCAATTGCAGCCAGTCAAAATTACAAGAGTGGAACACCTGACCTGACATTGAAACCAAAATTTGGAAGTATAAAAAGCAGTGAGCGAAAACCAATATAGGTCCATCAAGAAAAGAGTTCAATTGACTAGTCTCACTAAATCCATCAGTTGAGGATGTTAGGAAAGGTGAAACAGGTTAGAGACATGAAATCTGACGCTATTTGCACAAAATGGCTGCTTGCTCTCAGAATTGAACCAATAACCTCACGAAGTTGCAATTTTCGACCTGATTTTTTACCACTACCCTGCCCTCGAGCTAATCAAAAAATAAATAGTTAAATAAGTATATTACCTTGATTCGTCCATCGAGCTGGCCATCAAGGGAAATGAATTGAGCAACATGCGAGCTAAATCCTCCTATAGATCCTTCCTCAACAGTTATCAGAAAGGCATGGTTTTCACATAGTTGTCTTACAAGCTTTAAGTCAAGCGGCTTGCAGAATCTTGCATCGGCAACGGTTACCTCAACGCTAAGCTTTGAAAGAAGAGACTGAGCTCTAAGACAGTTCTGTACCATAGCTCCATAACCAAGCAAAGCAATATGCTTACCCTCAATAAGAATTTTTCCTTTGCCAATCTGGCTCCAACAAAGAGTTATATGACAGATTCAGGTTTCAAAACTGTTCAGCTACAGGTAAAACTTGAAATCCTAAAGTAAATAACGAAAAAGAGAAAAAGATGTATATAGACCAGGAGTAATTACAAGATCTAGCAAGAAAATTAGGGACACTGTAGCCACAATTTGAGATACATTTAAAACTACTACGGTAAAGCAACAAAGTAATATATGAATCTCTAAACACGAAGACACTTATTCAGTATTTTAGATAAATGAACAGGTCGTGAACTGATCTGATTTAATATTGCAGGATATTAATCTGATGAGGAAGTTTGTTTGTCAAGGTTTCATTGAAAATATTATGAGTTGTTTCTGAACATTATAGAAATTAGCTGACTCCAAGAAGCGGGACAGGCTTTGCTAAGACGAAACCAATGTTCATTGATGAACTCAAAGCATCACAAAAACATGATATAAGCAAAGAAAGCACAAAACTGTCACCTCAAGGGGAACACCATTGCATAACAAGTTGTTCATCTTAACAATGGCACCTCTAGGATAGCGCAAGCAAACTGGCCTGTCATTAACAAGGGCTGCAGTAGCCACCATATGAACAAGCTCAACCTCATCAGATGGTGCCATCACAATCATATTTGGCAAACATGACATGAACGTTATATCAAATGCTCCACAATGTGCTGGACCATCAGACCCTACCAATCCTGCACTTGTAATGACAAAACGCACTGGAATCTTCTGGCAGTCTACATCATGAATTACCTGAGGTCACAGGAAAAAGGAGAACTTAGGCAACCAAAAATAAGTCTGTCCCCACTGGTTATTGGATCTATTTCTTGCTGCTCAATGCAGCAAATAAAAAATCACAACTAGCCATTCTACCAACCAAAAATAAGAGATTTCAAAACAATTGTTTTTGGTAGGAATTTGAAAACAATCTTTCTTAATATTGTATACAATATCTCTACATTCCACTGTCTAGGTGTAAGGACACGATGCTAGACATATATAACACCTAAAATCTACACATTCAGCTGCAGAAGGTGCATACACACACACACACACACACACACACAGAGAGAAGTAACGCTCCTAACATCGAATAACTACATACTTTGAGTTGGACTACTATGTCCATTTTATTTGGTTTAATAATTACCATGAGATGCTTAAGAATAGCAGGGTAGCTCAGAATCAAGAGGTTATCCGACTGGAAAACAGATGGACAGTTGAGAGATTCGGTTGCAAACCTATGAAAAGCTTCAAAGAGAAGTACTAAATTTGGTAGAGAGAGAGAGGACCTGATCGTAAGCTCTCTGAAGTAAGGCAGATGGGATTATACAAAATGGCTTCAGTCCCCCACATGACAAACCTGCAGAAAATGTCACCGCATGCTGCTCAGCCATACCCACATTAAAAAATCTGTCTGGAAACTTCTCCTGATATAATTGAAGTGATGGCTCCATTCCCATTCCGGCATGAACTGTCACAATATCTTTGTCTTTCTTTGCCTCCATAATTAATGCATCCACAAAGCAATCACTATATGTCTGAGGGCGAGTGTTACAAGGTAATGAATCAGAATTACACAAACCTGCTTGATGCCAAAAAGGAAAAAACAATGAAAAATCGAGAAAACTAGCAGTGGGTTCTATTTGAGCATATATAGAAACATTTAGACCAGGACAGCAGCAGTGTAAAAGGTCAGCCACTATGAGAAGGCAGGTGGAGGTACCGCTAGGGGACCTAAACTGAGTTGCACTCTCGCAATAAGTTTCAACAATGAAAAATATACACCTTATTAGAGGATGAATTTTTCTTTTATTCAATACCTAAATTGCTTCCTCAGAAAGATACATATCAAAGGGAAAAAAAGAATTCAAAGAGTTGAACATCTGCACCCCAATTTCTTGGCTTAAATTTCCAATACAACCACACTCAATATAGTCACCAACCCAACCCAAACCAAACCCACCCCACGCCCACCCCACCCCACACCCACTCACAACCACGTCCACATTCTCTACGCACATCGCACAAATATATGGACTTATGGATTGGGAAGTTCAATAAGAATAATTTGATTTTCCAAGAAAGGATATACTTGCTGGGTACATGTGTGGTGTGATTTTCCGTCATGTACTTCTAATCTCTCTGATCTATACCACTTAGAGAATAAACTGTGAAAACCACAAGCATTTTACTCTTTTCAGAACAAAGCTTTCTCCTTACTGAATAGTAGAGCTATAACACACAGCAGCAGCTCATAGAAACTAGGTCTAAGCTCACACTTGTGGCTTATACAGTGAACCTAGTCTCCAAGTGAGACCCAACTTGCAACCATAACAGGAACCTCAGTAGACACATTTCATGAAATGCCTGACTAGGCAAAGTTTCTTAAATGTTATTTCATTACCCACAATTCGCTCCCTGAAAATTCAAAAGCTGAGAAGATTCCAAAAAGAATACATAAGTTGGAAATTCGTTCACAAGCTCAGATTCCTCAGACATCAAAGGCCTGATCCAAGTCTGAGAAAGAACCCTGAACATGAGACCGAGCTGAATTAGGATAAGGTTAGCTCCTTTTACACCCTAGCTGAACTAGAAGATGTGATGCTCCATATTTGAGGTGTCCACCCAAAAGCAATAGGCAACAGGTGCAGAGGCCCCTCAACAAACAACTATTGGGTGATCCTAATTTTCAGTGTGGGATACAATCTCTCATCACACTTGGAAACCCTCAGGAAAAATTAATGATGGAAGAAACATAAGAAGAAATAAAAGAAGCATACCTTCCTGGTGTTCATCTGGCATGTCACTATGGCTAGCATCTTCTACTTCCTGATCTACCTTTGTTATGACATGTACTAAAACAGGACCCATCGAATCTAATGATGCCACTTCATGCAGAACACATACAAGATCCTCAATGTTGTGTCCATCAACGGGGCCAATGTAATACAAGCCAAGCTCTTCAAAGAGAGTTGACCCTGGTGGACCCACCATACCACGTGCATACTCATCAACTTTGGCTGCCCATTCATGCATGCCCTTACCAATCCTCTTAGTAAAACCCTAAATGAAGCACCAATGACAGACCATGATGAAGACACAACAAATATTATATACAAAATTGGCATAACAGGGAGGTATAACAAGTAAGGTGGCAAATTACATGATATATATTTTGAATGTATCAGTCCACATATTACTATGTTCGTAATATTGTAGCTTGTCATGCGAGTCCAGATTGGGCTCAGTGGTCAGCCTCCATTTGAACTATGTCAGGGGTTTTTTTGCTTTTGCCACATCTAGTGAAATACTACAAGTCCTCCGTCAAGGTCGCCCAAAAAATTTAGTCTATGCAGTACATATAATTCAAGTTTACATCCCAAATGCGATGTTTCCATCCCAATAACTACTCTTCATGTTTATCAAAAACAATCTTATCTGGAATGCAAAAGTTCCTGATCATACACAATGGGTAGGTAAGTGGGGAAAAGAAAGACTGCTCTCAAAAGGAGGAGGAGAAGATGAATAATGAATTGACACAATGAGAAAGTAATTCTTTGAAGGAAAAAAAAAGCATTTTCTTAGAAAGGAAAAAAAGATGAATAAAGAACTGATATCATGAGAAAGCAAAACTCCTATATTTCCTTCTAACAAAGTTTGTGATGTTCGCTGGTGGTAATCATCATGTAAATAATAGTATATTAACTAAGTTGTGAACAATAGTATATTAGTTGATTCTTACAAAGATAACAAATAAGAGAGGGAGAATTTATAAAATACTTGGATCACTGAGAGTACCACAACTACACAGTTGCATACGCATCAACAAGATACTAGCACTTTCTGGTTATTCTACACAAGTCATTGTTCCCATGTGGATGTACCCTAGTAAAATAAAAGGAAGATCAGGGAAAGAGTACCTTAGCAACTTCTCTAAGTTTCCGGAAGAATTTACTCGACTGCAACTTGCTTAGATTACTAGACAAAGCATTGATTGGTGTTGTGGAGGCCTCCTCTAGCTTTGGGTGCAATGAGTGACGACTGTCATTCAATATGACAACCATATTTGAATCCAAATAACCTGCATTGTTCATTGCCTCATAAAGCTGCCCAGCCATAGTTGTTTCATTGCTGATTACTGCAACTACACGGTCTCGCTTCCCTTTGATATCTCGTGCAACAGCCATTCCTAGGAGAAAAAAAAGAAGAATATAACAAGTTTCAGTTCCCACTTCCCAGCTTGATATAGAAAATTGCATAGAGGCACAATTAATTCTTATTTAAGCCGTTATTTGAAGATCTAACAAAGCCAGGTAGGCTAGGCTGAACTGGATCAAGGGAGCCATGTGCTGTCCAGTTGACCCCCACAGGCATTTGAAAAATTAAGAATATATATCACATACAATTGCCTAAATTCGATGGGCTCTGTGAGATTGACCCGGCTAAAATGGATTTGTGGGAAAGAGTTACTTGATGGGGTCAACGTTAGATATACATAGTTTTTGTGGCATGTTTTTATATTTCCTCTAATTGAATACCCCGTAAAGATATTTTACTGAAGTAATGGTAACAAAATTGAAGCTCTCAAAATTCAATTGTATAAAATTATTTAAAATTTATATCATAAAAAAAAAGTTTAAAAGAAGCAATTGTCAGCTTTTCTACCCATATCATGGATTGATTTCTTGCATGTCTAATTGGACATTTTCTTTATTCTTTTACTTGTAATTTTTATTTTAATACTTTTGATGTCCTAGATTTAGACTGGCTTATTGTTTTTAATGAATTATATGTATGTTTGAAATTTTGAGACTAAATACATAGCTGAATATTTTAGTATGCACATATTTGTTTATATGTGGCATATTCAACTATGATTGTTTTTTTTTTTGGGCCTAAGTTTCAATTGATTAATCTACTACATTTGAAACAAATATTAATTTTATCACTTCACTTGAGTTTTTTTTTTTTGACGATATAAAGTGGGAAAGTTTTGAATAACCTTACTCACAAATAATCCTGGCTCAGGCACTGAATCAGAAAACAATAGTATGGTTGAAGACAGAATATTATAATATAACATGTTAATGAAGGAAAATCTAAGGCATCCTTAGAAAGACATGTAAAGGGATGAAAACAAGGTAATACCAAGCCCAGCAGAAATACTGTTGCATCCATGCGCTGCACCAAATGGGTCAAATTCACTCTCAGAGCGAGATGTGTAACCTGAAAGACCATTTGTTTGTCTGAGCGTATGCATGAGGGAACGCCTCCCCGTGAGAATCTTATGTGCATATGTCTGTTCAAGTTAAAAATATATAAGATATCATGCTATGCTGGTAATTTTAATCAATAATTTAACGCAATATAAGGACACGAGTTATATTTCTGGTAGAAGGCAGAAGAATAATTCATAATTCTGCACAAAAATAAGACCCTAATCCCTGGGAAAATAAAAAAAATACAATCTTACTTGTTCCCCCACATCCCAAAGTATCTTGTCCACTGGAGCATGAAAAACATGGTGTATTGCAACTGTGAGCTCCACCACTGACAAACTGGCTTTATAGGGTTTTTGAGTTTTTGACATTGTGTAAGATAACTCTGATCGGATGTCATTGGCTAATTGTTTCAGTTCCTACAAAGAGCCACTTTCAATGAGTTGACTAATCGGTAACTAAGATTCTCGAGACTTGAGAATCTGAAACTTGTACAAGCAAAAGATATCAGAAAGCAGATTACTTAACCTTAGGAGACAAATTCTTCAAGTGCATAGGGTTTTCAATTGTATCGAGTATGGGTGTTGGAATCTTGTCGGAGAAGCAATCACCCGCATCAGGTAGACAGCATATTCGACCACCAAAACTCTGTATCATGCAATGTCATAACTTATCAGCCTCTAAACCAAATCAATCTCTAGTTTCTCATTTTTGGTATAAGTCAATTGCTAGTTTTGAAGAACATTTAATCAGAATAGAATGCCTACGCACTCCTACAAGTGTACAGTGCACAAATAGGAAAGGAGCTTGGCTATGGTTCTAATCAAACGGAAATAGAATTACAGGTTTAACAGGAGATTGTAAGGAGACATTAAAAGCATGTAAGTTTGAAAGTTGCTAACAGTTAGTATGGTTCTCAATTATTAGATTGTTCATTTGATGTGGCAAGTGAAATCACAATCAAGGCATCTATATTTGTTCAGTGACAAGGCGAGAACAAATGGACTACAGAGTGACTCTAAACAATAAGTACAATTAATAGTAATAACCACTGTCAAACCTAATCAATAACGTAGTATATGGTGCTCAGTTCCAAATCCCAACATAGATTCTAAGTTTAGTGACTTTGTTGATTGCAAAACCAAGCCTTTTCACTTTCTTGACAAGAAAAAACGCTTTTGGCAACCGAATTAAGAAAATTACACATCGCATAACACAAATTTAATCTGGAAACCAAGTAGCATGTTAAAAACAAAACCATGCAGTTAGTGTCTCGCAGTACCATTAATTTGTTTTGCATTTCATAGATGAGATGACATAAAACTACATGACAACTCATAACATCATTTATTTATTTTACATTTCATGGCTGGGATGACATAAAATTACATGAAAACCAGTACTAACACCATATAGATGTATATAGTCCATATTTTGTTTCATTTGGCTTCTTTCCCTATCTCCTTGGCACCCAATTCTCATTCACCATTATTTCTTACCTAGTTTCCTGGAGGAAACTAATGTACTCACGAAAGAAAATCCAGCAAAAAACCTAAACTAACCCCTCCCCCCCCCCCCCCCCCTCTCTCTCCAACCCCTCAAAAAAGGGGGGAAATGTTAATAATTTCATACAAATCTTCCTTCAGAAAATGAAGAAGCTAATCAAATAAGGGATACTACTACAAAAATACATGCCTCTTACTTGGATGAAAATACTCAAAATATATTTTCCAAGCATATAAAAAACAAAAAAAAAATGCAAAGAATTTGTCTACCTTGGAAGTACTGGTGGAAGCAGAACTTGGGAACAAGGTCATTCTTGAAAATTCCCAATTGCAAGGGAAATTAACACTTGAGAAGTCCACTTTGGAAGTAAAATTTCTGGAATTCCCACGAAAGTGAGCACTGACACCAAATACGTTCTGAGCAGCAGCAGTACCCATTGAGAAAATAGAGACCCAACTTACCCAGAAATATCAATCAATTGCAAGGAAGTCTATAAAGATGGACAATAAAGAGATTGATAGCAAAACCAAGAGGAAGATATCAGAAAAGAAAAGGTAGTGCAACAAATAAAGTACATGAGTGAGAGGGAAAGGGGGGGGGGGGGGGGGGGGGGAGAGAGAGAGAGAGCCCAGAAATAAAAATTGGTCGTGACACAGAAGAAGTTGAAGCTTATGCAGTAGTGGTCACTGGAAAAATACAAGCTTTAACCAAGTAGTGGTAGAGGGGTCGCATCGGGGGCTTGGCTTCTCTTTGGTTGGTTCTAAACAGGCCGGTGTCTGTTGGCCGGCAGTTAAGATCCCCGACGATTGACCGGCCAGCCATTTGGTTTGGTTATAGGTAAACAATGTATATGCATATATTATTTAATAAATATAATTAATTATTTATTTTTTCTATTTAATTTAACATTGTCGATTTACGTTAAGTAAAAATTTGATATAAAGTTACTTCACCATAAACCCATACCATGCGATTTTCACTTCGCCCTTTATACGTTGATGTTTTTTGCTAAAAAATTAGAGACATTTACGTTTTTGGACACCGTAAAATAAATTTATGTAGTTAAGGAAAAAAAAATGAGGTATTCAATAGTTGAGTGGGGAAAACGACAAAGATCTCATAGTTTGGGGGGATAAATCATAATTAACCCTTTGTTATATTTAAGGGTAAATTATACCGTTAGTCTATGAGGTTTGACATTTGTTTTACTTTTCTTTCCGAAGTTTCAATTTCGACAATTTCATCTTCCATGTTATAACATTGATTGACTTTTGTCCTTGCCCTTAACTGTCATCCAAAAGAGTGACGAAAAAAAGCACGTAAGTGGCATGTGGAGTTAAAAGGGTAATCTAATCATTTAATGGTCTTTCCTACTCATTTAACCTCTTCAAGTTGTCCTAGCTAGCCCTAGCTAACAGTTGAATCATATCAACCACAAGCCATTCTGAGGACAACGAAAAGGAAGACGATTGACGAAGACGAAGGCCAAGGGAGCAACTAGCTGAAGGAAGAAGAAAATGAAACATATGTCTTGCTATTGTGAGAAAAGGACAAGAATGTTTACTTCGTGGATAGATCAAAATCCCGGTAGGAGATTCCTTCGCTACGAGAATCATACGGTGGCTCTTCAATTGGTTTGTTTTGAATTACTTAATTTTTTCGAAGGTTAGGCAATATTTTTGTTGTCTATTGTATACAACAAAGTGGAGGATGTGGGTATTTTGAATGGTATAACTCTCCCATGTGTAACCGATTGAAGAACATCATTCCTGACTTGTTGGTGAGAATCAAAAGAATGGAAGCACATTTAACAAGAATTTGATATAGAGAGAAAGTGTTGGGAATCTTGCTGATTCTGACATGGGTGGTGGTGTTGATGAACTAGAAAAACTCAGGCATGAACAAGAACAAAGAGAGTAATCCTACACCTGGTTATGAATTAGAAAATTAAGAATCTCATGTGTTGTTTGGTTAGTCCAAAAGGGTGTATAGTTTATGTAATGTGGTGTTTTGTTTAGTCCAAAAGGGTTTGTTTAGATTTGCAGAAGGGTGTGTTGTTTATGTAATTAAGAAAAGGCATTTGTGCCATTTAATTTTGAATCAAGTTCTCTCGTCTTCTTTTCCAAAGACCTACTTATTTGATGGAATGTACTATATAAAATACAAGAATACAAGAGGAAAAATAGGTGTTCATAAACAAAAGAGTGGTTCATAGACAATGTTCAAGGTACCCAATTTTATTACATTGTCTACAAAAACAACTACTAGAACAACTACTTCCAGTAGAACCCAAAATGCGGCATCTACACCATTATATGTATTATATCCCTTTCTCCTTAACCTTCACACCACCATTATCTGGATTCCCTTCATTTTTCCCCTTTTTTGCTATTGATTGAAGTGATGCAAGGGTTGTACAACTCTGACCTTTCCACAATAATGGTGCTGGATTTGGAGTAGAACGAGGTGGTTTGAACTGTTATGATGATGTTGGTGGGATAACATTTCTTTTGACATGTAACTTCTCTCTCCTATGTGATTGAACACCTTTTCCAACTCCAACACTTGCATTTACAACCTTTTCTTTCCTCACATCTGTTGTAGTAGCAGTTGTGTTTCCATTCCTCTTCATAATTCTCTATGCAGAAGTTGGAGTAGTCCCAAAAATTTGAACAATCCTAGAAGTTTGAGCAGTAGCAGACTCAGAAGTTTGAGCAATAACAGATCTAGAAGTTTGATCAATAACAGATCTAGAAGTTTGAGCAATAGTAGTCCCAGAACTTGCCCTATAATTTCTTTTGTTGTGTCCCTTTTCACCACACTTGCCACACTTCAATGAGCAATAGCAGTCCCAGAACTGGCCCACTATTCTTCTCAGTTTCTTTGGCCTGTGTGGCTGCTTATGGTGAAATAGAGGTAGAGGAGGAACTTCATTTGACTTAACCCATAGCTTGGACCCATTTATTAGATGAATAATCTTCTCATAAACCTTCAAGTAAGTATCTTTTGTATACCAGTCATCCACAAAATCCTCAGGCTCATCTCCTTTGTATGTAATTGCCTGGATTGCATGTGAGCAAGGGATGCTAGTCAAATCTCATCTTTTACAAGCACAAATATGTTCATCCACATCCACAACAAACTGATCTCCATAACAGTGCTTAACCTTATATTGTGATCCTCCGGACCATTAAGCAATGCAAAAAAAAGCTTATTTCTTGTTCTTCTCTAAAATTTCCTAGATTTTAAGGCATATCTTACCCTCCCATTTTTGTCATTACATCTCTCTTTGCAAATAACCTCCTCATCAGTAAGTGTCTCATCCTCTCCAACATTGATATAATGGGTTTGTCTCTTGCCTCAATTATACAGGCATTGAAACATTCACACATGTTATTCAAAAATAGGTCACACTTACATAATGTACTGCAATGTGATCTAGACCAGTTCCTTCAATGCTTATCTTTGAACCAGACAAATGCTTGTGAATCTTCATTTTTCATTTTCATCATATCTCATGAAACTGTTGCATTATCTCTTTCAACCCCAGCTTTTTCCTTCTCTATGTCACCCCCAACTGTTGCATTTGTATCAACCCGGGTAGCAACAACCTCATGATACTCCAGCAAATATGGTTGTTTATTATTTCCTGTACTAGATATAGCAATTACTTGACTGTCCTCTAAACCATTTAAATTTTCATCATCGATCTCCTCAATAATAACAGAACACCTAATCCTAGTATCTACATCATTTCTTATCCCCTCTCTTCATTAAATACATCAAACAGTAATCTATGTTCAATGTATACATCAGCAACTGTGTTGGGATATAATGAATTAAACGTTGTGAACACTTTTGAGTATCAATATACAGTAAAATCAATCCATTATCCAAATTCTTACTTGGTATCTTGAGAATCTCTTCATAATATCCTAACCCCTTCGTCATCTCGTCCATGGGAAAAGACGTCGACCCTACCTCCAACATATTCCTTATGTGGGTTGTCTCGAAACACCCCATCATGATGCATTTTCAGTGTTAAATATTTGGAATCTGGCTCTGCAAAACATAATTGGTACCACAAAATTACCAAACGCTATGCCCACATGCATATAAAACAAAAAATTTGTATAAAATAATCATAGATTGCATGCAAGAACCGCTTCGTTTATGTCCAATTCATGAAGTTTTTTTCAGTAAAATCAATGTGTTACAGAGTGAATAACAAATTTATTCAAGCTTTAATGGTCGTTGATTTACCGTATTCTGGATTGAAATCATCGTCTTCGCATCGTTGACAATTGGGCTAGCCAGCCATTATAGGAGTATCTAAAACCCTACTGAGGTGAGAAACGACTCTTGATTTCAACAATAACAGAACAAAAAGACGAAATCCCCAAATCCAATAGTGAACCCTAGTTAGGAAGGATGAACAGAAACATTTTCAAACAACTGAAGAGGTTAAATGGGCGGAAGGACCATTAAATGACTAGATTGCCCTTCTAACTCCATCACATGCCTCTCACACGCTATTTTCTGTCACTCTTTTGGACGGCAGTTAGGGGTAAGGACGAAAGTGAGTCAATGTTGTAATATGGAGGACGAAATTGTCAAAATTAGAACTTTTGAGACGAAAGTGCAACGAGTGTCAAACCTCAGGGACAAACAGTGCAATTTATCTTATATTTAACTTATTTTCTAAATTATTTACTCGAAAATATTTTTTAAAATTTTACCCCTTTTTGCATTTAACTTATTTTCTAAACTATTTACCCTAAAAGATTTTTAAAATTTTAATTTAAACCCTAAAAAATTAAAATTTTCAAATTGCACACTTGATCAAATAAAAAAATTAGTAATTTGGTCTATTTTAATAAAGTATAGTATAAATTTTTGATGTAAAATATTTAAAATTGAGTAATATAGAAATAATTGAGCTTAGGAATAGAAAAATATAAAGGCTACAACATAAAATTTTGCTTAACAAAGCAACAAATTTGTTGTTTTGGACCATATTTTTACCTTTTCATCTTATTGAGTGTATAGTTTGAAAATTTTCATTTTTAGTGTGTAAATTAAAAGTTTGAAGAACATTCAAGGTGCAAAGTGTCATTTGCCCACATAACTATTTAAGAATTCAATTCATGCCTTTTCAACATAAAAACAGGTTATAAAAGGCATTTTAGAATTTTGTCAATTTTATCTCAAGATACCAAAGCCACCCCCCTCTCCCTCCCCATGCGCGCACGATGGGATAACTAGTATGTAGTGTTTAGTATATTTTGTGTAGAGGAAAAATATTTATGATCAATTGATGAATCATACACGCGTTCAACATAAAAATTAAAAGTTTTTATTTTTCATAACGAGTCCATGTAGAGATATGTATATTTGATGAGAAAATTAAATTGATTGAATACAAGGTGATAAACAGTCTAGTAACTTGACATTTTTCTCTCAAAGACTTTGTGTGTGTGTGTGTGTGTGTGTGTTTGGAAGCAAAAGGCTTGTGTGTTTGCAAGGCTCCAAAGAGCATATAAAAAAGGCATTGAAAGAGAACATCCATAGAACAACCAAAATAGCAGCCACAACACTGTAAAAATGATAGCAAATGACTCATGCACCGATAACAATAATGTTTGAAGACATATACAAGAAACCCTATCATTGATAACAAAGGAACCCTAACATTGATAACAAAGGAGAACACAACTCAAATGTGTTTAAAGATTCATAATTTGAAAAGGGGGGGAAAATAAATTCTACGCCAAATCAATGGATTTGTGATTTTTGGAACCTCAAAAAAGCTTGTTCAAAAAATACTTCCCTTTGCCAAACATGGATTTGCTCATCGACACAACATCTGGCTATGAGATGTTCTCTTTCATGGATGTGTAAAACGGCTACAACCAAATCAAGATAACCCTGGGGATGGGGAAAAGATTGACTTCAAAACTCCGATAGATAACTTATATTACACCGTGATGCTTTTTGGATTAAAGAATGATGGTACTACTTATCGCCGTACTATGACTACGATTTTTCATGATATTATGCATGAGGAATTGGAGGGCTACATTGATGACATAATAGTGAAATCCAAGAAAAGGAAAGATCAGATGCAAGTGCTTTGTTGAGTCCTATAGATGCAGAGAATACAACCTGAAAGATGAACCCGATGAAATGTGCCTTCGGAGTAACATCCGGAAATTTTTTTGGTTATTTGATGAATTAACAAGACATGAATGTAGATCCAGCTAAAGCAAAAGCAGTGCTCGATATGCCAGAACGAACCTCAGCCAAAGAAAAGACTGCAATGTACATCTATCCATCCCAAAACTCCTCTGTGTTCAATTTTCTATTCAATGTACCATCTTCTACAACCTTTTACTCCTTTCCAAAACCCCAGAACTAAAGTTAAAGCCAATGAAAGAATAAATGCAGTAAATACATTGAAAATCACAATTTTCACAGAATCAAAAGCATGCAAGTGGGATCTTTGTAACATGCAACAAAAATGAACTTGTGTCGCATTAATGTAAAATTCTCCTGTTTTTTTGAACAATTTCTCCACCATCACCATCTATATGAATTTTCAGCTCCATCATCACTAGCAAGAACAAGTTTATCACCATCTCTAACAACTGCTATGTCGTCCACTTGAGCGCCATCCTTAGTTAGAACTTTGGCAGGAGAGAACCCGAATTTCTGGGCACCAATATCAAGTAACTCCTGTAGAGACTTGGGGAGAAGCACAACCTTTCCAGCAACTTCACCTTTTTCTGGGCAGCTAATGGTCACTCTAGCACGGATATCACGTAAATTCTGTGGACGCACCAAGTTGGTTGGAGATTTAACAACACTGCTTCCACCTGCAAGATTGGATAAAAGGAACTTGCATTAGAATTAGGTACTTCAACAAAATATAACCACGGCCAAAATAAATGTAAACTGATTGTTGTGTTCCATTTTATCGTTAAGGTGAGAACATCTCAATCAAGCATGCCATGTTTAAGATTAATGACTTCCGATCTAGTCAGAATACAACTTCTTATAAGAAGTTTAACTTGCACCATACAATTTAATTAACTAAGGACAACCAACACTGACATATAACATTTATGTTCCACCAAGTTATTCACAATGTGCTGAATATATGAACAATTTCCGAATTCTTTACAAGCTCAATATGCTCCCTTATAAGTTTCACAGCCAACAATATTGGGGATTTGCACGAGGCTAGTCGATAGATTTTCTATTTTCTTGCTTGTGTTGTCACTTAACTAGTAGTTCTCTACAATCAAGTATATCCCTCTTGATTAATACATCTAAAAAAGAATTAGATATGTGGAAATTAGCAAAAAAAGACAACTGAAGTACCACACCGCTATTGGGTCTATGGAATGCTGACATGATTCCAAAGGGTGAATTATTGAAATTGTTGGCCCTTCGTCTCCAATGTCTATTGGACCAGGAAACCTGTTTCACATTCGCTGATGTAACCTCGGGGGGTAAAGGAGGTATTGTTGGCTCACTCTGATACTTTTTAAGGTATGGCACATCATGCATCTCAGGAACTGGGACAACAGGTTGGTCTTTCTTCTCTTTGTTGGTCTGAAATAGAACTTTTATTTCTTCATGGCACTGATAATAGGCCAGAGCCCTTGGTGTCCAGCCATGCACATCTGGTCTGTCAATGTCGGCTCCTTGCTCTACCAAAAACTTAACTATTTCAGCATTCTCTTCGGAAATTGCAGTATGGAGTGCAGTAGTTCCCATGTTATTGAGCATAGTAACATCCCCACCATGACGGATTATGTCCTTAAGCAAGTCTAAGTTGCTTTGCTCAACAGCAAAGCATGCAAATTGACCAACATCGCCTGAAGATATCGTTGCACCATTTTCTACAAGTAGATTAATCACGGATTCATGCCTACCCAATAATGCATCCCATAGTGGCACATGTCCCTCGGAATCTGCAAAGGCACTATATAACCATTAGAACTTTTGTAATAATATTTTTCAGCATTACAAACTCAATAAAACAATAAAAGAAGATGATGATGACGATGGAGGTCATAGTGGTACATCTTGTCAGCACCAGTAGTAATTTCTGGTGGCAATAACTTGTTTTGTAATAGTCAACTTGTGCAGATAGTAGAAGAACGAGATACATTCACAATAACTTGCATTTTAACATGATTTCACTGTTGAAAAATAAATTGATTATGGGCAGGAAGGTACCTTTTATGTTGGGATCTCCTCCATAATCTAGAAGTAGCAGCACAGATACCAAACTTCCTTTTGAAGCTGCAATGTGCTGTAGCATAAAACACAAAATGAACTTCAACCCTCTAACTCATGTAGTTATTTCAGATATAATGCATGTAGCACAGAAACAGGGAAATCTGAATACCATAGATGTTCGCCCGTTGCTGTCCAATTCATTAGGATCCAAACCGCGTCTCAGCAACTGATGCAACAATAGATCATCCCCTCTCATTGCCGCAAAACATAAGCTTAGAGGCATATCCATTCTTCCCTTGGCCAGCATGTGCTCTGTCTCTACCAAAATTGCTTCCATCAATGGCTCCTTCCTCTCTTTCAAATACTGTATGCCCAATAAAAAACTTAGTACACAAAATACTACATTTTTGTCAACTACCTGTATTGCACAGAAGCATCTCAATGACCAAAAAAAAGGGCCAGAGTCCTCATTGTGAAGAGCCAAAAGAATATTATCAAGAGATTTCCAATATGAAACATTCTGATTTCTTTTACTAAGGTATGAACGCAAAGAAGTCCTTGAGCTCAGCAAGAGATGAATCCTAATCTTGGGCACAGCTGAGCACATACTATCAACTTTACCAACTCTATAACTCATTGCAGTCTTTATGCAGATCAACATGTAAATATCTCAAATGTTTTTCTTCATAACTCAGAAGCATTTCTTAAGAAATAGATATGAGACATTCCTCCTGACCTAACTCCGAAACAGTTCACGCAATATCTTGAATAAAACTCGCCGCAGCAATGAAAAATATTTGCACATACTATGAAAACAGTATTAGTCAAAAAATAGCTGACTCAAGTAGTTGGCGCAATTCTTAATTTCAGTGTTCTTGTTGATGTAGATCGTATTAGCTCTGATACCAAATTGATGTACGTTGTATTAGCTCTGATACCATAATTGATGTAGATCGTATTAGCTCTTATACCAAATTGATGTAGATTAGGAAGGTAAAAAATTAGGAATAAGAAGAGAAGAAGAAAGGGATGAGAAAAGAGAAAGAATTTGAGAAGGAAGCAATGTCAATATTCAATAATAATCAAAGTCTAATCTAAATAAAACCCTTACATGCATCCCTTTATATAGGGAAACTAAAACCCTAAAACAAATAAATAATGACAAATAAACGCTCAAAAATTAAAAGAAATACTTAATAGATAAATACTAAAAGTATCTAAATTACTCTCATGATTAATCTAAAATATATATTCAATTCCTACACGATCCCCATCACTTGTATTATCCACCAAAGAGATTGATGATACCATGCATACTAAACTTTCTGATAGTTATAAACTGAAATGATGCAGAGACTTTATTATAACAAGATCCGCTCAATTTTTTCAGATAAGTAGGATACCTGAAGGAGATTATTCATGATTATTGTCCCATCTGCAACATTTGCCTGAATAATATTTAGAAAAGCTGTTCGGTTCAACCGTAATAGCTGACTCAATCGTTTTATTCGAACAGTAAATAGTTGTGGCCGGTAACAGAGGACACCTATCTCACCAAACACATCTCCCCTCTTTAACTCTCCAACCACCTACAAATCATCCATTTCAATATTTTAAATTGCTAAATAAGCTTCAATATTCTCTTTTTTAACAAACCCAAGTGGATGTATAATGTGAAATTCTAAGGAGAAAGATTATATGCCCAAAACTAACCTGTTCTGCTCGATTCCTATGCATGATAAGGTCCTGTCCCAAAGAATTCAATGTCAAAATCCATAATATTATCAATAAATTGGACAGAAAAGAAAACTCTGCATAAAAAATGAAAGAAAGCAAGACCTTTGCTTCAAGCTTAGGAAACTCCTAGAAGGATACATTTCAGAAAAATTCTAGGGTTGACCTATGAATACATGTGTAGTTTCTAATACCATGATGGTGGTTCACTTCAAACAATTCCACCAGTCAACTTCTCCAACAACTAAGCAGGTTGAGTACCCAAAAGAAATGCTAATACTGAGAATAATAAATATTATATCAATAGAAAAAAAACCCCTCTGTTAAGCTACAAAACAATTATCCATTTCCATGTTTTGTCCATCTTTTAACCCTACTGTTGGAAAAAAAAATGTCACAGTATCTCCTTGTCATTAAACGATGGTTTTAAAATTCCTTTGGACGACAACCCATAACCATGGATCCATTCTGAATTCCCAACAATATATTCATCTATTAATTTCATAATTTCTGTTCAAAAAAGATTAGTTTCAGAATTAGTTAGATTATAGTCTCTATATATGCTTTTCTGTCTGTGTGACTGTGTGTGCTTTTGAGATAGAGAAAGAGCTCAGAGAGGCATTTAGTCTTACCACTGCTCCAACCACCAGAATGTACAAGTCTGTGGGTGCTTCATTTTGCAAAATCACATCTTCTCTGGGAGGAAAATACTCTGGTTTCATCTCTGAGACCTACAAATTTCAAAAGGTAAAAAAAAAAAAGACTAAGTTTCCATTTTCCAGGCCGGTTGACAGAAACAACCAGTTTTGGAGCTTAGTACCACACGTCAAAAAGTAAAAGAAAAGGTCAAGTCTCCCATAGCCATAACTCCTTAAAAGAGAGTGCAGATGGATTTGTTGTTTTTATGAGGGGAATAACAAGAACAAAAACAAACATCAGTAATTCTAACCCCTTTTGCAGACAAAGAAGACTCGTTAAACAACAAGCTCCATCCAAACAACACCACTGAAGATGAGCTGGTGCTAGTAATTACCAGTTGGAAAAGTAAATCGTTTGATACACCACGGAACAAGTACACCGTATCAACAAGCGAGTAGAAGAGAAAATGTGAAATACTTGATCGAATAGCTTTAGGAAGCACATCATTAGTTTCTTGTTGCTGCAGCCCTTCCAAATCAGTTCTATGCCTCAAACACAAGTGTGCAAGCATCTGATCTTGCAGGTGAACAGGTAGTTGGTTCCGTTGTGCGAAACTTGAAGCAGCTTGAATAACATCTCTCTGTAATTCCACAAAAATACACCCAATACAAATGTTAACGGAAATGTTTAAATTCAAGCGGCAACAAACCAACAGAAGAGTGATGCAAGCTCAAGGCAACGACATAGCTTTAATATTAGACTAGTGAAATCAGGAATCCATATGATGTTCTAGATGTATTTTGCCAGACACAAACTCCCAAGAAAGTACACCTTAGTATATTTCATGTTAACAGAATTTCTGCTTTGATAAAAAACCACTTTTATGGTATTCCTATCGGTTTAGGGCCTCCTTTATAGTAGCATCAGTTAGGACTTGGGGACAGAGCCAGGATTCTTTTAGGGTAGGGGCTCCTTAAAACTAATTAAGAAGGCTTCTATCCCTCGAGGTAGGAACGTGGGAGGAGGAGGTAGAGACAAAAAGTTGTACCTACATCCTTCGACTAATAATCTGAGGCAGTCTCTAGTCCAGTCTCTTATCTTCTCTAGCTAGAAAGAGGAAACACGATATACTGGTCAAGTTAAAAGATGATGGGTTTTAAGCTTTATTAATAGGAGCACAGTTGGAGTCAAAAGTATTTACTCTTATTCCAGCATTTGAGTAAATCTGCTATAATTTAAGTCTTTTTAGGGCTTTTCACAATAATGGTTAGGACAAAGCATAACACTTTGGAATGAGGACTCTTTGCAGGAGTCGAGTTCAAGGCACCAACAGTCATCCTCTCCCTCAGCCATTATCATTATTTTCACAAAGACACTAATTCTTAATACTTTTCTATCATTACAATTTAGAATGCCAATAGGAGGCGCAGCCCCTATACACATGATATACAAAAAGTCTACTTAAAAATAATCGCATATAAAATCTACTACCATCCTCTAAATATAGCGAAGTTTTTTGCACCTAGTCTCCCTCAGGTTGTGAGAGAATTTGTAATATCATTAACAAACTAGGGTGTGTCTATCTACTTTTTCATGAGTTAAGCTCCATGTGGCCCTATTGGGGTGTGTATCTACATGTATATGTATTGAGCTATATTGTATATCATCCTTTTCAAAATATACTTATTTTACTTACTAAAAGTATTACTGTAAGGTTATCCACGATACCTAGTAGAAAAACTTGATACCAAAGTGTAAAATTCAATACCTTATCATTGAGTCTTTAACAAATAATTTGTAGGGACCATAAATAACCCAAACTAGTAAGAACATAATCAATAGAAACACCTTAAAAAATCAATATATCACAAGTCTACTAAAGTGAACTTTGATATAAAGAATTTAATCTATCACAAGCAAATTATTCAAGTCCAATTAATCGAAATAATTTGATCCAAATGTAATTCATAATTTACAAATTCCAAATGTACTAATTTAAAATCTTATTTTTTTAATTATGAAATGATCTCAGTTATTTTCTTAAACAAAACACTCTCGTGAAACTTTTTCCACGAGGAGGCAAATTCTAAAAACTTTTAAATTTTCGAGAATCTTAAATGGGCCTCAAAATTTTTCATAACCTCGGTGGCCCCTATTGTGCTGTCATCACTGGCTTTAGTCGCGGATGACCAAATTTCTTCTAGTTTGTGGCATTCAACAGAAGCAATTTAAATATACATAGGAATTTTGTGTTTTGCCAAAAAAGTGATGCTTTGATACACAAACTTCATGTGGGCAGATTTGCCAACAAAAATCCATCACTTCAAACATAGAAGTGCAATTCAGGTACAAAGAAAGACCTTTTCACAATGTCATAGAAACAAAATACTTTTTTTTAGATAGGAGTGATAGATGCAAAATATAAAGGCATACATTCGACAAACTCAAATAAGAAAGGAAAAACCTAGCTCCAACAATAAACTGAGCTCAAGTAAGGAACTTAGTCCAAGCCATATGGGGCATAGTAGATGTCTTCTCACCACACAAGGCTATTAAAACTACAAATTGTTTTCTCATGTGTGCAAGTATGCCAAGAACTACCTAAGGCATCGTGCAAGTATCAACTTAAACAATATAAAAGTATATACTTACAAATTTCATAGTTCGGCTGGTCCCATGTACAACCAAGTTGGTCATATTTCCAATCAGATATGATATCAACCCAAGGTCGAATATCATATAAAAGATGTCGAATAGCATTTCCTGTGTATTCACAGCATGCAGATCACCATATCCAGTTGTTGTAACTGTGGTGATGGACCAGTACATTGCTGTCACATACCGGACCCACACACTCTCATGAAAATTCTCCCCAGAAGTCCCAAGCCAAGTCTTTTTTGGATCCTTCTGACGAGCAGCAAGAAGATAGAAAAAACAGCCAGCAAAGTGAACTGAGAAAAGAGTTACCTATAAAGGCATCACAAGCTTGATAAGATATACCACAATTCGAATCCAACTCTTTCATAAATATGAACAAACAACTCTTACAGATACTTACAAATATAAGCTTTGCACATCTAACCCAAAAATAGCTAAAGTTCCTGTCTTTCTCCAATCTGCAATATTAAAGCAAGACAGGGAATTCTCAATCAAGAGATCAATGTTTGGACAGGATTCATTGCATAGAAGTTCAAAAAAACAGAATACATTTCAAAGAAAATGGCAATGGTCATCATCATCATTTTTGCAGCAGCAAAACAGCAACAATATGAGGCTTAATAAAATATAATATGTAAGGTGACAAAGTATATATAGTCAGTCGATCTTCCAGAAAGCGTTATGCTTCTGCTTCTCATGATGAAAGGCAAAAAGATGGGAACAACTTATGTTTTAGCTGCCCCCTGAAACAATCACAAAAATAGATAGAAAACAGGAAACAAAGACAAGCTTATCTTGGAATTTAAATTGCTCATCACATGCTTTTCAATAAATAACATAAAGAGACCACTTAAAATCTAACCTGGCAAACATGGCACTGACACGTCGAAGACGCCAAAGGCGAAGCATATTGAAGTAGCCATATTCTTGAAGCGGAGGGGGCAAAACACTCCGAGCAAGTTCTGAAGGGATTGTAGAAATCACATCAAAGACCAACCAAGTTTTTCCATACCGCCAAGCAATCATCTTTGGGTTGTCATTGAGAAGATAAGTTGCTCTATCAAGATAGGCAACAAAGAAGGTTAAAATAATGTCAATCGCGAAAAACCCATTGACCACATTGTCTGCAATGGAGAGAGGCCCCCTTGGTTTATCTAGGAATGCAAATTCAAATGGACAAACCCACGCTGTGTAGAAGACCAGAAATACCAAAAACGTCTCCCAAATTCTGTAAAGGTCAGTTTAGGCAATGCCCCCATTAGTTTTGAAGGAGAAAAATTAAAAGATCCTCAAATAATCAGCTTATATGAACCAAAATTGTCCAAAAGACAGTGAGCCAAAATAGTGTCAAGAGCAAAAGAGAAGCAAAAGCTAGTGTCTAATGCATAATTAAGCCCTTGCCTACATGAGGTTCTGACTTCTGAGTTCTAACAATACAAATTCAGCTGAGTCTTGCAATCAAGCATGAAGCAAAAGTGAAAAGATTCAAGAGTGCAAGTAAATATATCTCACACTTTATTACTTTAAGCTTTAATTAATAAAATTCTCAAAAACTAATTGAAATCATAAGAGTTCATATGAATTGAGCAATGCAAGTGCATATGAAACCATGCTCAACTAACGATGTAGTCAAGAATCATGGGAATGGTGATAGACTTTTTCCAATGAGGTTTTATGAAAGTGGTAGAGTTTCAAGGAACACAAGTCCCTATAGTTAAGTTGTGGTTCCAAGAAAGAAATAACTAGTTCCTCAAGTTGTGGTGCCAAGCAAGAAACAACTAGTTCCTATGTTGTGATTAGTGATATCAACCTATAATACCTAGTATATGTACTTGTAATTTGAATAGGAGAAGGAGAGTTTTGGTTGCTGAAAATTATCATTGTGAGAGTGCTTAGAGCCTCAATTTGAAAGTTGAGTGATTCCTCTATTGAAGGTGAGTAGGACCCTTTATTGAGTGAGTGATTTCCCGACTATCCTCTGGTAGTCTAATATTTTATATTTAGTATTTCACCTTTAAATATCAATCTAAGCTTCCTAGTTATATTTTGAGTCTTTTATCAATTTTGGCCTCCATCAACCAAAAAGCCACAACAAAGATGATCTTTGTCAGATGTAGTACAAAAACTAAATTACAAAAACAAAAACAATGGGGGTAAAAAGGGAAAATAAAAGGTAGAAGATTGTTGCTTTTGCAAAGTGAACTTTCCTATTCCCATCTTTTTCTTATTCAATGTGCTTTGCCAAGAATTAAAATTTTAATTACATAATTCCAGTGAAATACATATCATGAAGTCATTTCCTTTATAAATCAACTAAACTCATAGAATACATTAATCAAAAGAAGGTGTAAAAAACAAAGACAAAAGATCGCACAAACTTAATTACAGTTTTACCTCAATTTGTGGGGAAAAAAAAGCTTGTGAAACTGAAAATATCAAATGAAATTGCATATTCCAAAACCTCCAAAAGCAATATTCTTATGTACATTGATGTATACACACATGCTATATCATAAATTGTTGGTCATAAGATTCAGAACTAGCGTGAAACATAGCCCATTTTCGAAAAAGGATAAAGAAATCAGCTAATATGCAAAAAGTTGCATGATATATAAAAGAAAAGAGAGAGTGAAAAGTTTGACTCAAACTGTCTAATTATCGTGAATAAGAGTTTGTTAGATAATCAATGTGAGAATCCTAAATAGAATAGGAAAGGTGATGGAAGAGTTTTAATAAACCATGGATAAATTTAGTAGTAACTTGATAGGAAACATAGAAATTTAGCAATGTTCAAATTGTATTGAGTTACAATATTTTATCTCTATAAATGGGATTGAGTATTATGTAACTAGTTTATCAGTAAATAATACATCGATGTAAATTTTTGGTATGTAGGTATGGTATACGGTATACCAAGATGTGTACATTAAATTGAACTACATTATATTTTTATGTCAAATTTTTATTATTTTTCTATCTTTTAATTCTCTTTCGATAAATATTATTTGTGTTAATTATGTACTGTGCAAAACCAAAGCACAATTTTACACATTCGAATGAATATATCAATTATACAAACCAAAATCAACCCATTTCACAGAAGGAAAAAGAATGAGAAGATAGACAAAGGTTGCGGCGAGATCATGCAGAGAGAGAGAGAGAGAATTTTTTTCTTGTTTTTTTTTAAAAAACTATGTTTATATTACTTTTTAGATGCTGATCTCACGTAAAAGATTGAATAAAGAAATGCAACCGCCCATCAGAAAAGGGGGAAAATTCAGAAAAAAGAAGAAGAATAAATATCAACAATTATTTACAGGGAGAGGGGGGAGAGATACAAACCTGTAACGAGCATCAAATGGGGAGATAATGAAGCGACGAAACTTGACTTTGCGATTACTATGGGCTCCGAGAGCTGGAAGAATACCACTGGAGAGGCTGTGAGAGCTTCGATCATCCCTCGATGTCGTCTCTATCTCCTCCCTCAACTCATTCCCTCCGCACACTAATGTTCCCTTCGACCATTTCTGCTTCCTTGGAAACATCTTTCCCTTTCTCTCTATTTGCCAACCCCTCCTCCCAGTCTCCCTCTCCCTCTCCCTCTCCCTCTCCCTCTCCTCCTGCCTTTTTTGTTAGCCGTTGAGCTCATTTGTTTTTCAGTTATTGCAATCTCTCTCTCTCTCTCTCTCTCTCTCCTCACCTCACCTCACCTCACCGTATAATTACCTCTAATTGTAATATCAGTATCCAATAATTTTATTTTAATCCCAAGCTAACCACTATTCAATAATTTTATTTTAATCCCAAGGCAGCCACTATTCAATAATAAATAAATAAATAATACAAATAAATTACTTGTGGTTATAAAATTTTATAAAATTCATTAAGTTCACCGTGTTAGTAAATGATTAATTGGTATATGATAACGATATTACCATTTAGATATATTTATGCATTCTTCACATATATATATATATATTGTTTGTAACGAGCAACCTCTTTGAAGATTCATAATTAATCCATTTTTTATAAAATAAATATTAGTTTCTTCCAACTATATATAAATATATTAACTATTATATAAAAATTGAGACGTATCGATGAGAGTCAAACTTATAAGATATGAATTTATGGTCTGACTCAAACTAACCCGTCACCGTGATTACATGTATGGATACCGAAAAATGATAAAGAAATATTTATATCAAATCACACATTTTACATATTTATGTTAACCTAGTTAATAATGTTATTTGGCCTTAATTTCCCGACACATTAGGTTACTATTGACAGGGGTCCCAATCAATAATGAAAATCAATGTTAATTCATTGACAATAATCAATTGAATTGATAAATTAAGTTTAAATAACATTATTTTGATCTAATTATAAGAATGTTTTTTGTATAACATTACCTCTTTCCACATAATATCAGCTAATACATCACAATGGACCTTAGTCTTCATAGTTTTAGTGCTGTCTCTTATTCACATTTTTATTTCAAAGGGTAAATATCCTAAATAACTTTTAAACTATGATCTTATCTTAGTGGTAAAACGTACCATACACTTTAGTATCACTTTTTTAGCACTTTCACTTTAAAATCCTTTCAATCAGTCACTTTTGTCTTGTCCATTTCCAAAATAATTGATTTTCCCACTAGAAATTCTTGTGCAACCATTCAATTATTTTAGGAGTATACGTACTAAATCTCTAATGGACGATGCCTCTAAATAAGATATTAGGAAAATTCAAAGGACATCTATTTCCCTCCAAAATTAAATAATCAATTTTTTTTTTTGCAGTAAAAATAATGTTTAGTTTGTCGATTATGTGTTCTTTACTCCTACATGACGAAAATTATACAAATTAGAGTGAAGAGGTAAAATGTTTTATTAATAGAATGTTGGATAACAGGGATGAGTTATAAATTTAGACTTTCTGAGTTTAAATTTTGACAATTTCATGTGGTCAAATCATGAAAGATGAGAAAATACCTTAGTCCCGGAGTAGATAGCCTACATTTTGATTGAACCGGAGATGCGATTAGTTGAATGCGTGTAAATTAACTCGAACATTACTGATCGTTAAACCAAAAAAAAATATATTAATAACAATTTTTGGTGGTGCATGTGTGCGGTGATTTTCGCACAATAAATAAACAGACAAATCTCTCTCTTGGTTAACACGAGTCTTGTCTAGAAGTCGATGATCCTGTGACAAACGGAGTGAGAAACGGTATAAAGAGTAGTGGTGAATCATTTTTCCAGCAGTTCGCGCGATTCTGACATATCAAGATGAATTATGTCACACAAAAAAAAAAAGACGTTGGAGTGTTTTTCGGCGTGACCCCTCCAATGATCAAGTTAGTATGTTAGAGAGGGGGGAAGGAAAAACGTTGTTCTATTGCCAGAATATGATTTGCATACCTTTTCATTTAATTTTTTAGAATTACTTATACCTTCATGGAGGTAATCATTGCGGACAGGTGGACCCCTTGAAGAGGAAGTCCCCAGTTGGCCCATCTGAAGGGCAACAACGATGCTCAGTCCTTAGGTAGAATGTCTTCCATTTTGTGTGGAAGAAGCTTAAAAATTGAATGTTCGAGCTCCCGAGCACTTAATGCTCTTCTTTTGGGACTCTCCGAGCAATAAATACATTATATCCTTCTAAAGGGATTATTTAATGCCTCCCTGTAATGGCTGCGCACGAGTAAGGGCATCTATGTCTATTGCCCTTGATTCTGTGTTCTGTGTCTCGTGTAACACTGTCATTAGTTGTTGGTATGTCATTTATGTCATTCTGATTGCTTTGGAAAGGTAAGTCAATGATTATTTACCAATTCTAATACTAAGTAACGACAACCGCCAATCTACCACCCATGTCTTGGGGTCTTGGAGCTGAGATGACATGTTTGGAAATGGACCTCGGGGGCGTTAGTCACTCCGAGGACACTTGTCACTCGCAGACAAAGTTCAAGAACCTTTAGTGTCAAGGACAAGTGTCACAATCTAAACACTCTTAAGGGATGGACGCCCGAGAACACGTGTCACTCATAGGAGCTCTGTAGTGCCCTTAGTGCCAAAAGCACATGTCACTCGTTGATGGCGCCGAAGGACCTTTAGTGCCGAGAATATGTGTCACAATTTAAACACTTCTAGAGAATGAACACCAAAAACACATGTCAATCAATAGGACTCCCCACATTTATCATACCAAGTACACATGTCATCCTCTTGTTAATTCTCATAAGTGTCTCATCAATGCAAAAGATACCAAATTATGCAAATTATGTGATAAATAAGAAATTATTTTGACGTTATTTTGATCTTTATGGATATGCATGTGATCATAGCATCTTTAGCTGATGAGATAATGCCACTAATATTAGTCGGATCTTAAATAACGTCAATTTTAAAAAGAGGAGAAGACAAAACAGTCTCGTCCTACTCAAATCGAACTACTTGAATTCAAGTCAAATTCAAATCACTCAAACTCAACTTATTTTTTAAATGTATCAAATTTAAATAATTTTTTAAACCCGTTTTTAGACTTCACTCAACCTCAACAAACTCAACTCGTTTATATTCAAATACTTAAACTCAACAAAAACTTAATAAACTCGACTCGTTTATGTTCAAATACTCGAGCTCGACAAACTCGATGCAAACTTGACAAATTCAACTCATTTATGTTCAAAAATTCAGACTCAACTCATTCAAACTCAACATATATTTTAAACGGGTCAAATTTAAACAATTTTTTAAGCATAAATAAGAAAACAAACTTTTCAAACTCGACTTAAACACGTTTCACTATCAACCTGGCTACTGCATAACTATAGCCCACCCTTACTTTCTTAATGCACAGGTCTCTTCTTTTTTCTTTTTGGCTATTTAAACTAGAAGCGTTAATACATTGGATGTTGAAGGGCAACATTGTTCTTACTATGAACTACACGTTTGCTGCTCTTGTGGATTTAACAGCTTCAAGCAAGTATAATGGCAGCATTAGTTCAGAGCATTCAAAAAAATCGCTAGGTCATAAGCCAAGGCCATTAGCCCAAGGAACAAATTCAAGGGGGAGAAAGCCTCACAATATGATGTAATGTTCAACCATGCAAATTTAATGTTACTGATATGATCTACTTAAAACAGGAAAACATCCCCATACTTGGAAGAGAAGGTTAAGAACCTCATATTCTTTTTCACAAACAAATCACAGCATAGATCCAATAGTTTGGACAGCCTCACATATTAACCAAAATCCTCACTAAATGGTACCCCAAATTCCTGAGAAGGAAGTTCATGGATGGCATAAGTGATGTACCAACGCACAAAACAGAAGCGAATGGAAGGCAACTGCACCACAAGTGCTCTCCAACAAAGGCAATCCCATCTACTCAAATGTATCATCATCGTCATCAGGAAGGGGCTGACTTGCAGCTGCAGCAAGCTCTGCCTCATGTCTGGGGAAATTGACAAGCAGCAAATATAAGTATGGTCAGCAACAGAATCCATACAAGTAACAAGGGTTCACCCCAGGCATCTTTGACAAAACTAAGGCCTCAGGAGTTGCAAGAACTTGAAAGATTTTCCTTCACAAAAACTACAACTACATCCTCAATGGGACAGTACAAAGCAATGGAAATACTAAGAAGTCCTTATTGTACTTCCAGGAAAGAAGAAACAGATGATGCTCAAAATTTGCACTACCCAATCCGTAATCAATTAAAGATAGGAAGGGAGGAAGATAGAAAGCTTACTGTTGCTGTGCAGCCAAATCTATATGCACTTCTGGTGGAGCAAGGGCAGGGGACTCCACAAAATGTAAGTTAGAATCCCTACAACAACACACATTTGGCTTAAATACCTTAAATTTGCATTCTAGATAAGAGAAACATGGTAATGTTATACTGTTGAAAGGTAATTTACCCAGCAAGTTTCCTGGCAAGGTACAGAAAAGGCTTCTCAAAGTTGTAATTACTCTTTGCCGATATTTCATAGTACTGTAGATTCTTTTTCCTGTGGAAGGTAACTTGCTTTGCCTTCACTTGCCGGTTCTTCACGTCGACCTTGTTTCCACAGAGTACAATTGGAATATTTTCACAGACCCTATGTTTAGCAGCACAAATTAATAAAAAGTACATTAGTATCTCCAAATATTTACATGTCCTACTTGATAATAAGCAAGCAATATTTATGGACACACCTGCAAAGATCACGATGCCACGTGGGAACATTCTTGTATGTCAACCGAGCTGTCACATCAAACATAATAATCGCACATTGTCCATGGATGCTGCAAATGACTTAAAACTATCAGCACAATACATTGAGGTTGTAAATTTCATTGACACATATATAATAAATGTAATTAGCATAAATGATTTGCAGTTTCAAGTTAGATACACGGCAAGACTTTGGGTCCTGGACTCCCAGTAACTACTGGTCAATTACAGAAATCCTTCATCCTTCCAGCTGCATGAAGAGCTCAATCCAAGTGCATGTAAAAATTCCATTATAATTTATGGAGGTACACCAACCCTATCAGCATTTCATGGTCCCATGACCTTATTATCAAGACCCTTTTTTTTAGGTAAATAAAACAAAAATGAGGTAAATGTTTCCACAAATTGCTGCACAAGGATAGTTACAACACTAAAAAAGATGGATTTTCAGGTCTCATATCCACATGGCAACATTGTATAAGACATGAAAACTATAATTTGAATACCAGTTTAATGAAATAGCACATGAGAGGGCACTATGTGATGACATGGCAATGACTAGAACATCCAATAGGTATGGACTACAATGAGCACAACACAACCATAAGCATGTTGCTAGGACAAGACGCACACCCCCCCCCAAAAAAAAAAACCACTATAAAAAATGCTCCCCCAGTAACATGGATGAGGGATCCATCCCAAGATAACAAAAAGCCATTTACTACTCAGATTTGTAAGCTTTCTCAAAGCATATACCATTTAGATCATCCAAAACAACAAAAAAATAAATGAGAAGAAATATTTAATGCACTTCAACACACAATGCTTGGCTAACAGATTATTAGGGGTCATTTACACCCAAAAGATGTTAAAAACTAGCTTCTCTTACCTTCTGTGAGCACAAGCAAGCGCACACAAGAGAGAGAGAGAGAGAGTAAACAACTAGTTGGCAACAAGTACAGATTGGGTAATGTTCAAAACAAGGGCAAATAGGTCATTTTATTTATGTTAGTGCTTCTCTCTCACAACCAGACAATGTAGTTTTCCACACCTGAGGGGGCTTATGTGATTTATGGACAAACTTCATGGATCCACGTAAAATGAACACTACTATTAAATACAAGAACAAACTCGAAAATCGACACAAATATGTAACAGTAGCTTTCTATAAGGCCACAATGAGGCAGAGGCAGTCCATCACATGTACAGATAATGATCTACTTCATTACAGGAAAGGAGTTTGACAACACGATAAGTATTTGAAGGAAAAATAATAATCAAGTAACTTACTAGTAGCCATCTCTAAGGCCACCGAATTTCTCCTGCCCAGCTGTGTCCCAGCAATAAAACCGAATTTTGCCACAGTTCGTGAAGAAATCCAAAGGATGAACTTCCACACCAATGGTTGCTATTCATGGTATAAGAAATGGCGTCAATCAATTTCATCTCTTATATATAAAACCCACATAATAGCCAGCTATCAAAAGTGTAATATAAACAAAACATTTCCAACAGACTTACGTTCATATTTTTTCTCAAATTCTCCCGTAAGATGTCTCTTCACAAATGTGGTTTTTCCTAAAATATACAAACAACTCAATATCAGCAAAAACTTAAAAGCTGAAACTGACAACCAATTTCAGCATGAGAGCTGGAACTAATAACAGGTATAATAACAAACAAACCAATATCAAATCCTATTGAAGGAATAATCTAAAACCATAAAACTCTAAAATAGAAACACTATTGACACCTACATATTAGCAAAAGGAGTACAATCATACTTCTAAAGCTAACTAACACAAAATGACAAGCCTATAAAAAAATCATTAATTCACTACTAATCCAGGTATTCTCTTACATAGAGCTCCACATGAACTAAAAAGGACAAATTTTTATGGTTTACAAAAAAAAATTCAAACAAGAGGTTGCAGATCTAAATTCAATCTCAATTCCTCCACACCTCGTCATCAGATAAACAGAAAAAAAGATAAACCTGTTCCACCATCACCGACAATTACAAGCTTGAAGCTTGGATAATCAACAGTTTGCTGATTCGGCAAGGCCTGCATAAAAATTAAAAAAAAAAAAACCAGAAAATCTGATGCTTCAAAGCAAACATTTTGAAATCCAGAAAAAAACGCAGCTTCTAATATCTAAACACTATATATAATGGGAACAACGTAATAGATCGAAGAAAAATGGAAAAAGAGATCGAGAAGGGGCTTACCATGGATCAGTGCTGAGAGAATGCGGTAGCAATGTTTTGGAGAGAGAGAGAGAGAGAGGGAGAGGGTGAGAAGAAAGCACGAGGGTTTGGGGATTTATATACACTGGACGAGAGCCAAGTGAGGGTTTTGGGGTGTGTGTGAAAGACCGAAAGGAGAAAGAGAGACACCAAAACAAGGGTTTGAATTTGAAACGACTCAGTAGCTTTAAGCTGACGCGAATCTTTGGACCGTCCGATCAAAATTCTCTTGATCTCGGGGAGAGAGCAGGCGAGACGTGAGAGTCACTTTACACACTAAAAAATTTTAATATTTTGAATTTATATTTTTAGTGGTTATTTTTTTATATTACATTTTTAATATTATAAAATAATTATAATACAACCCTCGTACTAATTTCATTGTCATTTTTGTTAATTCTCATTTTTATTTAATGTGGGGGGGGGGGGGGGCTATATGGCAGATTGGAGAAAAATTATAACAAATGTCAGTGCAAAAAATAAGGCATTGTTTAATTTATGTCTCAAAAAATAGTATCTAAAAATAATTTTTAGTATTTTTCATATTGCGTAACCTATTTGGTTTTATAATTCCATAAAAATTTTTACGGAATAAAAAATAGTAAAACTTATTTGAACAATGTCTAAAAAAAATAAAAAATAAAAATAGAAATGTAATGATAGTAGAAGTGTGGTGTGGTGGACGTGATGGTGATGGTGACGGTGGTGGTGGTGGTGGAAGTGTGGTGATGGTAGTGGAATTATGGTGACAGTGGTGGTTATTATGGTGGTGGTGTCTAAATTTTAGAAATGTTATTTCAAAAAATACACAAAACAAATCTAATTTATTCTCTAATAAATTTGTCCAATTTTTGTTCTCAATTTTTAAATAATAAAAACAAAAAAAAATGGTCAAATAATTTTTCTCCCATAAATTATTTTTAAAAACAAAAAACAGTTTCTGAAATATAAACTAAACAAGATCTAATATTGTAAATTACATGATAAACTTATTTAATTATTATTAGAAAAATAAATAATTTTTTATTTGTATTTTTAAACAAGTAATGTTTGAATTATTATAGTAAATTACAAGACTTGATTTTCTAGTGCAAGGATCGAGCATATTTTTAACGTATACTGATTATATAAAATATATTTAATTTAAAGTGACTTATTGTGTGATAGATTCAGTTGAGAGGAAAGGAAATTCTATTTTACTATTTCTCAGCATGTTACTTGGACCGAAGTGCCTTGAAAATGGTATGTTTTGATCGATATTTTTGGAGGGTTTAAATTGACTTTTCCAAATTTTTTTAAACCCAAACCTCTTTTTATAAAAATGAGATTTAACATTGAATCTAATTTATACATATGTCTGATATGTAACACATACACATGTAACACCTATGGATATATCATAATTATTAACAACCATTTGTCTTATAAATACGTATTTTATCTCTTAATTAATCTAATTCATTTTCATGTTAAGAAGTACAATTATCTTTTGTATTCTTAATCCACCTTTTTCAAATACACCCGCTAAGTTTTGACGAAACCCATGATCGTGGGTTTAATATTCGAGTCAGATGCAAATCGAGTTTGGGAACGAAAGATTGAATTTTTAATTCAAACATAGAGTTTGGGAGTCCTTTGGACTATTTTTCCCAAACCCTAAACACCAATCGCCCAAAACCCACAAAACAAATAGGCCTTAACATATATGACTCAAATATAAAACGACGTAACTCGATTGACATTTTAAATTTTAAGTTCTTACATCTATATTTTTCTAAATTACAAAGGTAAATCTTTTATATCGGAATTAAGATATTCATAATAGATAAATCTTTTATAATTTGATCCAAAAAAATTACTAAAATTCAAACTCAAGACGTCTAGATTTATAACTCGTTTCTTTTATCACTTGAAATACTCTGTCAAGGTTGCCTTATTCAAACGATGGTACAAAGGGCAATTCAAACACATGACTATAGTTACTTGGGATGAATGAAAGGTAAGTGTTATAATTTTTAGTTTTTTTCAAAACAAAACTATTTTTATAACTCAAACTAAAATCCAAACAACCTTAATTCTTCCTTCAAAACTTGTCCCATCTCTCAAACAACCTTATCGTTGCATCATAGAAAAAAAGTTATTTTTATTAGCCAAATGTCTCTGAATACGTTAAGATTTTAAGTAAAATACCAGACGTCACAAGTTCTATTTCACTGAGTTTGTTGCATCATAGAAAAAAAGTTATTTTTATTAGCCAAATGTCTCTGAATACGTTAAGGTTTTAAGTAAAATACCAAACGTCACAAGTTCTATTTCACTGAGTTTTTATTATCGATACAATATTTTCACTTCTTGTCCAATTGACCAATTAAAAAGTACAAAATTTTTATTTTATTACTTATAATTACAAATCAATCAAACCAAAATCTATGATTCGCGATAGAACTTGGGTGTCATACCCATATTTTCTTGTGGGTATCATAAACTGGACCACGGTGGTTGCCGGCAGTAACTGCCTGCTTTTCTTAAGCCAATTGCATTACGATCTGAGGAAGGGTCTAGCAAGGGCTCTAATTGATCTCCTCGCTCAACTGTGGAAAAGCTTCTCAATCGCCACCTATTTCCCTTAGGCTCTTTACGCTTACTTTACTTGGGCCAGGCCAACATAATTTCTTCTTTTGGGTATCTCACAGAGAATCTTGCAGTGCCAGTTCCAAACCTTAAAACTTAACCTATTATCCTGAAAAGAATCAACAAAAGAACCATCAGATTGTTGTCATACACACGAAGGCTAAAGCAAAATTCACGATCACAGTGTGTGACACAGACGACCAATTTCACTTTTTTGCCAACAGATATGAAAGCTACCCAGTGCATCAATGGAAGACCCCCAGCATTCAGGAGAGATGATGAATGAGACTAGATGATATGCGCCTTCACCTGGGACTTTTGTGGATGGATTATGTCAAAGAGTTGGGGGTTTGTTGAGACCAGATCACATTGAAGCAATGGTCGTGTTCATTGGAATGCAGCTAGCTAAAGAGTTGGGCATTATGAATATCATTTTGGAAGGAGGCTCAAAGAGTGTTTTAGGGGCCATATGAGATATGAAGATAAATCTTTCGGAAGTGGGGATTTTTGTAAAGCAGATACAAACCCAGGTTACATACCTTTGCCATTTCAGGGGAGCGACAATGAGGTTGCAAATTGCTTAGCCAAGTACGCTTTAATGCATAAAGATGGATGTATATCGGAGGAGCAAGTGCCTATGTTTTTGTTACCTTCAATACAATGTGATGTATCATAGCTATCAGATTAGTTTCATTAATATTATTGACCGTTTCTTATCCAAAAAAAAAACACTCCATGTAAGTTCAGTGTATATAGTGAAAAGAGCTAAAAAAACGAGAATACACATTTCAGATAGTAATTTGCAGTTAAAAGGGAAAAAGAATCTGTCCATGCTATCTAAGCTTTGATCTTTCAAGGAACAAATGCCTACTTGCCTAGGGATACAAAACCTAAATCCTTGTATGTTCCCAATCACTATGCATTCTAGAAACCAGGGGAGTAGTTGCATCTTACATGCTTCTCACAAAGCATTTGAGGCATTCCTGAATTGTTTTTAATCCTTAAATGCTACAAATGTTTCTTTCCACCATCTGGCCAACCACTATACCCCTCCATCATACCCACCAAAACTAGGCAATCTATCAACTCTCAGTTTCTTACATCAGCAACGCTGCAACACTAATGTTAGATTGTAGTGGAACAATTTTCATGCAGGGCAGTGTGTAGTTTGTAGAAATGATCCACGCGACCCCACTTCCAAAGACTAGATAGTTCACTCTATGTATAGTTTCTTTGGCAGATATAGTACAATTTCAGGTTCAAAACCACGTGTAGGGTCTGTAGATATAATTAAAGACCTAAGTTCTCTGAAAAGTATTAAGAATTTAAGGAACCAACCTAACGTCTATGGTGTTCGTCTCTCAAACAAGATTATTTGCTAAGCACAGAATATTGAAAACTGTATTTCCTTCCTACATTGAGAGAGACAGTCCTTACAAATTCTCAATCATTAACTTTGAATTCATCAAGAAATGTTGATGACCAGTAAATTTAAAGGACTTGCAGGATAAAACTTGGAGTTTGAGATTTCTATGCAACAGTTTCTCATGGTTAAAAGCTCCTTCACACAAACAACCATATGAAAAAATGGATGCCCAGGGCAGGAGGCTCCTGCCACTGTAAGGTCTCTCCTGATCAGAAATAATCATATACAAGTGAAAAACTCTTGGCATGGGAAAGCTTTCTCCTTATACATCAAAATAACATGCATGATAGGGTCTCCAATTGGACTATGCATTTCCTTTTTCATTTCTTCAAACTTGCCAATTTTCCCATTGTTTGTTTGGGTTGTACTTTCTAATTTTTTTTCCTCATACAGTATCTCAAACTGGGTCATGTCACCTCTTGCTCTTAATAACCCAAACATGAGCTTGCCATTCAACAAAACATATGAAGTTTAGCATCCACATCAAACTGGCATTCAAATGCCAAAGTCTGATATCCACCATTGTCAGGACACCTTTTATGCACATCATGATATAGCATGTACTTCAACGAACAATCCCTTTCATTGTTATGCTTGACTCTCCACAAAGGATATTGGTGCCAATTTCTAACCTATAAAACAAATAATTTTTACATAGGAGAAGAGCGGCTTTTATTGGGAAAGGGGACGAGGCTCAAACCTACATCAACCACCGAAGGGATCTTCTATGGGCCATCACTTGACCTCTACCTACTGACGAAACCGTGAACTATTTGAATCCCACTAAATAAGACAATTTATTTTTCACACATAAGATTTATTGGGGAAGGAGACAAGGCTTGAACCCACATCTACCGCTGACAGGATCCTGTCTGGGCCATCCATTGACCTCTACCTACCAAGCAAATCGTGAAATTATGGAATCCCACCGTACAAGTCCAAAAAAAAAAAATCACACATAAGATCTAAATTGAATTACTAGTTTTTAATGCGATCCAAGATGGTTGATGCAATGCATATTGAGCAGAATATATAAAATAACATATTACAGGTAAGATTTGGAACATGCATAGAGTTGTTTTCAAAGATTAAATTGCATTACTGTAAAACTAACATGAAAGTAAAAACTAAATTAGATTTGTTAGTTGTAATGAAAAATCAAAGTTCTTGATTTTATAATAACATTTTTGCATTTGAGTTTAGCTCTTAACCAGCATATATGATAAGGGCAATCATAGGTACTTCATTTATTGACACAACACAAAATTAGAATCGACCAAATCCCATGGGTTTCCGAAATCCAAAAATCTAATGATAATGATCAAACCATTAAATATTGAACCCTAGGAATCACAGATACTTCCCAGAGGGGTGCCGTGTAGGGGTGCAACTTGGATTAGCCAACCTAAATTTAACCCGAGCCAACCCAAAAAAAAAAAGGCTTGGGTTAAAATTTTTAATACTTGGGTTGGGCCTGGGCTAAAAAACCCCTACTCAAATTGAATTCGAGCAAGTCTCGGGTTAAGGCCTCGAGTTGTCGGATTCAACCCGAATATTAAAATCGGGTTGAACCCGATTATTAAATTGGGTTAAACCCGAATATACATAAATATATAAATATATTTAATTAGCATTAGTATTTATCTTTACTCTTCAAATTTTAGACTTTCACTTCACTTCAAGTCTTCACCCTTGCGCCTCCATCTCTCTCATCCCTCTCTCACTCATCACTCGTCTCTCATTTGATCTCACAATCCCTCTTTCACTCGTCTAAGTTTGAGGCCTCAGTCTCCCTCTCTCCCTCGTCACTCCTCCCTCTTTCAATCGTCACTTGTTTGAGTCGTCTTAGACTCTCAACTCGTCTGAGTTTGAGGCCTCAGTCTCCCTCTCTCACTCGTTACTTCTCCCTCTTTCAATCGTCACTCGTTTGAGTCGTCTCAGACTCTCAACATCCCTCTCTCATTCGTCACTCCTCTCTCTTTTATCAACTCGAATTAACTAATCCGAGATTAACCTGATTTTTAATCCTAAATCAGACTGAATTAAGTAACCTGAATTCAACCCGAGCCCGCCCGAATTAAACTCGGGCAGTACTCAGGTAAAGTACCTCAAGTTGAGGTTGGGTTAGAGTTAAGGTTAGGGTTAGAGTTGAAGATTATATACCTAAGGTTGAATTAGAGTTGATCTCTCAACCCGCTCAACCCTCCCGAATTGCAGCCCAAGTGTCGTGGCAGTGTCAAACATGGAAACGCGTCAGACACAACCTGACCCAGTTAGAAATGTCCTGAATAATGAACTCAGTCAAATACGACCAGAATACAGCTAGGATATGACCATGATTTTTTTTTAAAAGAATGACTATTAACTATTAAAAAGGGTGTGATTTCTATTTTTTTTAATATTTTTTTTGCTATGTAACTTATATATTATGAATGTTAATTGATATAATGATGTTTAATGAAAATGGTGGATTTTTTTTTTTAACTATTTCAATTTTAACCAAAAAAATTAATATTTGTTAGAATTTATTAATAATATTCTTATAATATATGTTTTATTTTGAATATAATATAACTATTATTATCTAAAAAAACATATTACATGTTTTTAATAGTCGTATAGGTGTCCTATATTTTTTAACTTTGTTGTATCCCCTTGTTCATATTGTATCGGATACAACACCCGTGTCCGTATCCATGCTTTCTAGATTGAGCCTTATTTATAGCAATACAAAACAAAAAAAATATACACAAAGGCAAAACAATGTAGCATGCAAAGAGTGGGAAGACAAATCAGCTAGCAAATAACCAAACCATTTGCAGCACCTGAGCTAGAAGGTTGACAAGAAAACCTTCTAAATCAACACATCATGGCAGCTTTGTAAAATTATGATCTCACTTCCTTCAGCAGACAAGATGACAGATTGAGGCTAGCCTAAAATAAAATTCATCAACGAAGTAGATTAAATGACAATACCATTGACTTGTAATGAATTGTCTTATCTTCAGACAGTGCACCCGGGAATCATCTGCCCACTGTCTACGCCAAATGACAGGCAGCAAACTATAGTATCATCTTTAGACCTGTGGAAGCAAGGGATCCATGCCTCCAACTGTGGCCCTGGAAAATGCAGGGGATAATCAATAACATCCACAAAAGAGAACTCCGTACGCTGTCAATTGTAAGTAAGCCAAAGCTATTTATTATTTGATCCAAACCAAGAAGCACAAAATAGTTGCATTCAAATATTTACACACACCAATTGAAGTTATGACCTCCATTAGAATGTTACAGCTGGGATTACAAATAGAAAAGCAATAAGCACACTTTCCATCAGCTTCTGAACAACTACATTATCATGGATATGCAGTTGTCATATTCCATGCATAAACAAAAATAGCCAATCTGAACCTTCCTTAGGCTTATGTAAAGCACTAGACTCGAAGTAAAATGAGCCTCCTCTTAAATAAAGAAGTCGAGGTGATTGGTTAATTATGAAACCACCTGTCTTTGATGCATGCAAACACATGCCGGAGATTGTTGACTCAGAACCCTCCTATCCTCATAGGCGTTCTTTAAATATACAATCTGGAACCATATGGAAAAAGAAGTCTAATTGTTGGATCACTCACATTGATGACTGAATGGATACAACTGGGGTTTTAACAACATGGAGACCATATCATCGGTATCTGTGTGAAATTTATATGATGCTTTTAGTTCACTGGAATCCTTGGTAACAGAGAGGAATATTCAGGATCCTTGCTAAACAATAGCTGCATAACATCAGCCCACTAAGAATAAACGAAGAAAAACTACACAAAACCAAGATAAGGCTGGATATATTTATTTCTTGCAAAAGTTTTGATACATGATCTCAAAGTTACAGAAGCCAGCTGTCTACACAATTGAAGGTTAATAAAAAAAAAGACAGAAGCTACAAAATGTAACACGTCATCTTGCTTTTTAGGCATTATCTGGACAAAGACAAAGACCTATACATATAAAGAAAAGAAGAAACTATTCTACTGACTGTCAACTAATATGAAAGCCAGTTCCAGCAGAAATTAGGTCTCTCAACTCCTTCAAATGTTCATCATTTGAAATATAGAGAGTAATACGCAGATTTGTCAATAATTCTTCCTTTTCCCAACTTAAGGGGCCAGAAGCATAAAATGCCTCCAGAGTGCAGCGATAAGCATGCAACTCTAACCTATGGATACTTTCTGCGACTTCCTCTTTCGGAGGAAGAAGACAATTTTCGTCTTCACCCCCTAAATTACAAGAAGATTCTGCATCACTACAAAGGGTAACTGTCTCTCGACAAGGAATTGGTACAAAACGACCACGAAACTTAATTGGACTCTTACTAGTAACACTACAACTACCAACTGAGCATTCATCACTATCAGAATCATCAGGGTCTGAGCTTTTTGCAAGAGAACAACCAACGACGCCATTTAGTTTTCCTCTCTCCAGTTCATAATATCCATTTGACTTATTGATAAAGAAAGAATGCATGTATTTTTCACCCAAATTTTCTTTTGGGTAAGCAACAGCATCTACCTTTTCCACTAATGGGGCCCTCGTACCTTCCTTCTCAATTCCTCTTATTTTGTGGAAGTTTCCAGGGTATGCCTCAAGAGTAGATGAGTAATACGGGGATGCTCTCTTCAGTGTCCTTGAAGAGACCATATGAGAGTCCTGTAATCCAGCATCCCTACATTCATGTCCTGCTGGCTGTGTAATCTTGGCATTAGATAGGGGCACCTGAAAGCTTGCCTTCCGATAACAATTGGTGGTTAACAGCTTCTTAGATTTGACATCTCCCCAATTTGCAGAACCCTGAATGCAGCAGTCAAGATAAATTCAGCGAATGCATAAGTGAATGACACATTAGAACCATAAAAATGTTTCTAAAATTAAAATATAGACAAATAAAAGAAAAGAATTCTAGGAGGCATGGTTCATTGTCACTGTAGTTGGTATTTAAGTCTGAAATAGTAGACAAAATACAACTACTTAAGCAAAACTATAACCAAAATACTGCAAAAACTTGATACTAAGAACAAAATGCAACTCTCAAATGCTAAAACTCTCTCGAAAATGACCCCAAAAAAATTTGCACCTGCATCTAGAAAAACTTAACGAAGCTTTATCTGAACTACTTAGGGCACATGTTTCTGATGAGAGGCAAAAATGTAAACCACTTCGCAAACCTAAGTTCTCAATCTAACTTCTAACCAATTACATTTCACAAATAAGACTTTCCGGGAAAAAACATTTCACAAATAAGAAATTACTAAGATTGGGCTTCACAAAAATATAGGTTAAAACATGAGAATTTAAATTCCCAAAAAAAAAAAAAGCAATGATGCAACCCACTTGGCACAATCTAGATAGAATTTTACAGACATTCAAATAATTGCAGCAGAATTATATTAATAAAAATCATGCCCAGAGACAAAGGAAATACCTTTCCCATCACAACCCATTTGTCATCTTGCCAGGACTGTCTCACCCTGATGTTTGATTGGTGGACCCTGAATTCCTTTGAAGATCCAAGCAGCCTTACAAGATAATAGTGTCCATCCAAATCCTTCAAGACTGTTGCAATTCTCCATGAACTTTGATCAAATATTTCCACAACATCACCAGCCATCCAACTCTCCACACCTTCCATAAGAGGAGGGCAGGGCCTAATAGCCTTCCTAGACACCCTCTCTTCAACTTGCTCGCTTGTCATGTCTGGATGACAATCATACCTCACATTGTAAGTATGCCCATCACCAGACATAATTTTAGCACAACGCCACGAGAATGGCACCTCATTTTTTTTCATTACTTCCACTCTACTCCCTCTTTTAAACCTCATGATCACACAAAACTCAGTGACTGAAAACCTGTCAAAACCAAGAGATTAAGAAATTTTGCATCAGAAGACAGATCAAAAGTTGCAGGAGAAAAATAAAAATGCTAAACAATCAAAACAACAGACCAAAAACTTGAAATCGGTTGTAGATGATATATTATTTACTTTCTGGGTCATGATAATTAAAGAAACAAAAAATCATAGATTGTGGTACTTAAATAGCTTTAATAGCAATATATGAGTATAAAAAAGTTGTTCTTTCACAAAAATCTCTGGATTTGTGGATTGAACCCAACCATGGACCCTATAATCCCCAGAACCAACCAAAGCACCTTAGGATTTGACATCTTTTTCTGTTGATTAGGATTTGGGTATAAAACCCAACAATCCCCAAGGAATAAATCTAATGTTTAGCAAATTCCATTGCAGTAGCAAGTGATGAACAATCAAAGCACAAATGGCACCCAACCTCCCTCCCCCCACCAAATATAACCAAAAAAATAATCAAACCAAATACATCCAAAAACCCAAAAAATTCCTGTTCTGTAGCACAAAAATTGATCAACTCAAATCCCCCAATTTGAACAATATATTATAATCACATTACTAAGCAAAAAATAAAACTAAAACAACATTGAATTAAAATACTAATAAATTTAAAACTAGATTGAAAATTTAATCAAATTCTACCCACAAAAATTCATGTTCTGTAGCACAAAAAACTGATCTACTCAAATCCCCCAAATTTTAATAATTTAGTATAATCACATTACTAAGCAAAAAATAAAACTAAAACAACATTGAATTAAAATCTTTATAAATTGAAAAATAGATTGAAATTTTAATCAAATTCTCTGATTGACTCTCCAAAAAAGTCACAAACTTTAATCAATGAACTAATTTAAAACTTCCCTAAAACAATAAATTTTGGGACTAAAAGTTAAAAATCAAAGCCAAGAAATCGAAATCCACTGACCGTATGTTGAAATTCGTGCAAGATTCTAATCTCCGGGAATTAATTCTTTGTTGTTTTGATCTCTATAGGTTTGTATTTCGAACCTTTGAATTGGTATTTTGTGTCCTAGGGTTTGGTATTGTATGAGAAAATAAATGGGAATTTAAAAATTAAATTGTGGATATGTATTGGTGTGGAGGGTAAAATGGGAAGAATGAAAGATAGGTTCCAAAAACAAATCTACTAGAAAAAATAAGGGGTGCGTAATGCACGCTCTCGTCTGTAAACACACCTAGCGCCCTGATAAACTGTGTGTGAACAAGGAATTAATTATTATTATTATTTTTTTTAATTTAAATTTTTTTTATCCAACCATTTTATTTTTATAGAATTGTGTTTTGAAAATATTTTTTTATATTAAAGTTGTCTTTTGAAATATGCTTTCAATGTAAAAACCTTGAATATAAGTCCATAAAACAGAACAAGTTTCAATAAGTGTATCCGACAGTCTCAAATAAATTCATGCAATAGCTACTAGCATCTCTCTCAAAACTATTTTCATTACATCGTACTTTTAAGCACTAGTTATCTCTAGTAGATTTCTAAAACACGACTCTGTAGACATAATAATAGGCTCGCAAATAAAATTGGATATTGCCAATAATAAAGCTTTAAAAACGTTAAACAAGTGGTGGTTGTTTCATCTAGAGGTAGATTATGTCATTTTAGATTTTTATTATAAATTAATCATTTTTATAAATAACCTTTAATCATATGATGATTCAAACAAAATAAGATATATATATATATATATATATATAAAATAAAAAAAAGGTTTAAACCTTTTTGTACACTTGTTTTCTTAAGTACTTTGATTCAATTAGCACACACAAACAAATCATAAATTTGTTACTCTGTTTGGTACGTGATAATATTTTTACAAGAAAATAAAATTAAGATAAAAATTGAATTTAGGTAGAAATGAAATGAAATATATATTACCATTTTAATGTTTGCTAACAATTAGGATTAAGCACTTTAATATAATTGAAAATTCACTCAAATATTTAAATAAATAAATACTTGAAAAATCCTTAGACACAGACTTAGACTAGACCGCATACACCGACTCAACCCCAATCTTGAGTGGTGGTGGTAGTTGTGGTGGTGGTTGTAACGACAAGTGAAGTAATTGAGAATAAAAAATACCACCAAATGTTAAGGAATAATAAATCCAATGCCGATGGGATTAGACATTTTATGAAAATGAAAATAAATTTTCATTATTACACACCACACATTGGAATGATTACTACTAAGAAATAATTATTCCATTCTCAAGCTTTATTATCACCTGCCAAACACAGCGTAAAATATCTCTAAAATGACATATCTGACTCAAAGCAAACCTAATAAATTTTCTATAGTCACCAAGTTTTTTATTGCCACAAACAAATCATATATCTGCCCAAGAGTATCAACAACAAATTCTCTATTGACACTTAAAGTCTTTAATTTTAAGAACTCAACTCTGAAAAATCAATCTTCACTAGGCTCTGCATCATTACAAGTTAAAAGAGGGAGCCCAATCTGACTATACATATTTGGAAAGCCAATTTTACTTTGTACTTTATCAAAATCAAATGAAAAAATAACACATGAACTATACATATTTGGAAAGTCAAAATAATGTGTTTTACTAAAAAAAATTAGTAAATCTTACTGATTCAACTGTCTCCATTGATTTGGTCATCCACCATCTTTTTCTTTGAGCCAAATTTGGTAAAACAATACAGGTTTAGATAATGCCTGACAAAAATCTCCTCCTGCTGCCTGGCCAATATCTCCTCCCTCATCCTACCTCCATCCCCCAAATAAAAACCCATCTCCTCCTTCCCACAACCAATTGCCGCCACCATCATTGTCACTGCCATTGTCATTTTTTGACACCCTCGTAAATGTAGACTCCCAACTTTTAGCGATAGAAGACTTAACATGTCTAACAACAACAAACCAATTTAGCAAACATAATGTTGGAACTGCAATTGGACTCCAAACCACAGACGGGAAAAAAGGAATTCCAAAGCTGCAAAGGCCTTCACAAACCAGCTCAGAGTTTCTTTATCGTCGTACTCTGGTCAATTTTCAAATTGGCATCACAGCACATGCTCCTCCAAATGGTTATAGCACTGGTATATGTACCAGCTGTAGTGGTGGTGGCGACCCTACAAATTCAAGGAAATTAGACTCGTGAGAACTCCACCAATTGTTGCTTCCAAGTGGATAGAAAATGTTTGATCTAGAAAAGAGTGGGAAAGAAGATATGCAAGTCATGTAAAATCCCAACTGATTACAACCAAAATTCAGAATTACTAATGGGGTTCCTATTAGAAAAGAAAGATTTACTAGATTGTAGTGGCAAGTGAATTTTAGTATTTTACCTTGCAGAGCAGAGGGCAGGACATTGACTTTCAGGGAGCAAATATTTTCTCTCCATTAAGTGACCAATCTAAAATGGGTAGTAAACCATTGACTGGTTATTTAGACACAAGAAGCCCCGACGGGGGACTTATTTCCCTTAAACTTCCCACTGACGAGAATATCATAAGTCGTATCATTAGGTACAAGTCCTCTGTCAAGCATCTCATCATGCAATCTAAAGGCCTCTTGCAAATTCCCCTCACTGAAGTATCCAGCAATCAATGTATTGTAAATAAGAACACTAGGAGCCATATTCTTTCCATCCATCTCTTTCAAAACCTTGCGCGCATTCTCTATCTGTCCTTTGTTACAGAGACCATGTACCAAAACAGTATATGTGATGGCATCAGGCACAATACCCTTGGAAAGCATCTCTGTGTACAAATCTGATGCAAGGAGCATTTTCCCTTCTTTCAACAACCCATCTATTAACGTAGTGTATGTTGCCAAATCCAATGGAATTTCCTCTCAGATCATTTTGGTATGCAAAGCGAGCGCTGCTTCCATGTTATTTAGATTTCTGAAGCCACTAATCATGCTATTATAAACAACTGTATTGGGAGACAACCCTACTTGAAGGAGTTCATCATCTTGAGAAAAGAAATTGAAGAGTCGCAAAAAACTCAGATTTAACCAATGCACATGGTTTACATGCAGGCTCCTAAGATTTGCGATATAATTAATCCAAAGGGCACATAGTCATAGCAATTTACCGTAACCCAGAAAAAATTAATACTGAAAGCTAGCTCGATGTCTTGTATGCTTTCAAAGACAAGCTGTGACCACTTCATTTTCATGGGGCATCCACACAGTCAGGAATAAGGAGAAACAGTCAAATAAAAAACCAGCCCTTCCTTTCGAACAAAATGAGAAACATAAACATAATGAATTCTGTAAAATTCACAAGGCACAATTTCCTACTTCATCGAGGTTTAATTTTAAGGTTACGCACTAGAGAGAGAAATCCCGCCTTAGGCGATTTCGAGAAATGAGTCTACAGGCGCAGAAATTGTGTAGTGAAGCGCCATAAGATTGGTTCCAAGACATTATAGCAGGGAAAATCAAAATATGGACCAGCCCAAAAAAGTCCACAAACCAGCACAACTAGACTGTATGTGTTTCTTTCCTCTCATCTCATGCATCTTATATTGATCCATTTGCACCTCCTAATCGGATAAATCAGCTTAACCATCAAGAGCACCAAGCGCTTTCATGTCCTCCAAGAAGGCCATATACGAGTCATCGATACTTTGTGGTTTCAATGCTGACGAGGAGTTACTGTTTCTTGTTTCCCAACAGGAGCTGCTGGAGACTGGGTAGCTGTTGCCACGGTTGAGAGTGATGGCTTCAGTTTTGCTTTGGGCAGGGCAGACTCTCTCCTCAGGCGTACAGATGCAGGAACCTGTGCTCAAAGAAAGAAAAAGGTTTAGGTTGGGACAAGATATTAGGCTTTTTGAAATGCATTAAGAGACTTTCTTAAGTCTAAGAGTAGTTCACAACGCCGTTGGAACTTGAGTTATGATGTTCACATGCAACTCCAACAAATAATGATAATCTCCCCCCCCCCCCCCCCAAAAAAAAAAAAACATGCACACACAAAAAAAAACAAAAAAAAAAAAAAAAAAACGAAAACACAAAAAAACCCCCTAAGCAGCAAAATGGAACTTGCATTGCCACTGATGGACTCACTTACCTAGCAATCAACAAGATTCATTCTGGATCAAATTTACAAATGAGTTATGGGAATGGTACACAGAAACTAATAAACTCCGTGCCATTCTAATACGAGAAAAACCTACTGGATGGGATATAGATCATGAACAGACAGGGGATTGCGGTTGCTCCATCAACCAAACAGGACAAACGAAATTGTGAATGTAACAAAGGTATGCGACACTCGTGTCACAGCAGGTAATCTAGTACCAAACAATGTCCGCCACAGGATGTTTAAACTACGAACCAGCAACACTAATTTAAGTCTCCATAACTTTCATTTTCTCCTCCTAGAAGAATGGAAGCTATGGTTTTAGAATAGTGTAGACTAAAGTATGAGACAAGACGACATTTACAAGGAAGTAATCTACACATTTGCATTCAAAGGCCTTGCATTTACTTTTCCCCATTGAGGAACAAGAGCAGTCGGAGTGATAAATGCATTGCCAAACATTGCTAAATATTGTTGAAATCCAAGGATAACAGCATCGGCTGCATCAGAAAATACCCCATAAATTTAAAGGAATCAGACCGAAACAATTGGTTACAAAACAATGAAAGTGCAACTATGCATGAGCATGTGTGCTCTATGAACATCAATTAAACTATTGCACAATGGAAACTGAGACATGTTCCACCAAAAATAAAAATCCTGCAATGACAATGTAATAGTCTTTTCTCTGTAATAAGAAGAGAAGCCAACCTCCTGGATTGGTACGGTAACTCAAAATTAATATGGTTCGTGTTGTCATCCCAAACTGTCCTAAAAAATCATCTGAAATGTCATGGGTTTTATCATATGTGAACTGACAGTGATGAGACACAGGGGATACATAGTTAATAACATGAATTCCATTAAAACTTTTAAGGAATCTTAAATTAACTTCAAACAACTTAAAACATGCACAAATTCTAGATTAAAAAACCCCCAAACACAGCACACTAAACAACAAACATTCAATAAATAGAAGCATGACCAATTCACAATTTGCTTATGAAGATTGTACTTTGTCGTCTACTTTTTTCTTTACTATTTTTTTTTTCTTTGAGGAATATATTCTACAATAGAAGGTAACAAGCTCTAAAGAGAAGAAGAAAGCAAATGGATGCGAAAGTATCAGAACCCACAACTACCTAGAGTAACTTACTAGAAAAACATGCATCAAGAAACTGAACTATAGCAACTTGTTACAGAGAATTTAAAACTACTTATCAAACCAAACAAAAAGGTGAAATTCAGTGAACACACTATAAAAAACAGAGGGTGTACCTCATTCAAGCATTTTGCAGAGTCTCAAAGTAGCAGAGAACTCTTAAGATTTGGCATCAAAATCTCCTGCACTGATCATTATCTGATAAGTGCTATTCACATTCAGTTCCGTGTATGTAGTAGCCGCCACCACCACAATGAAAGGAGGGAAATATCGAAAGAAGAGAGCAGGTGGAAGGAAGGAGAATGTGAGATGCTAATGTATCACCAGAATTGGCAGAGTTTTTTTTCTTCCTTTGTAACAGATGAAGACATAAGTTCCAATTTGTAACATTGGCATTCAGTGCATATCAGATGGATAAAAATGACCTAATTGTGTTGTTTAAGGGTAAAAAAGGAAAACATAAGTTTATTAGAATAGGTGGCATTTAGAAGTAGTGTGTATATATATAATTTGAGCACTTCTCAAACTATGAACAAACTTTCCACCCTGGAAATAAATTTATTGAAATCCTGCAAAATTCTCTGCTTGAAATGGCAACAGGACTCCTCATGTGATGGATCACCACTCTTTTTTGATGCTAAAATGGCTTAGATTCAACATTGTCAAGATAACTTGGAAGACAAATTTGGTGCTTAACAGCTCAAGTCCTAAGTTCGAGTCTTACAGAAAAAGAAAACACTCTGGTTGACCCAATGCATTCACATCCCAAATTTACGCACCAATTAAAAATCCAAAGGGCATGCAACTAAGATGGTTCTTGGCAATAAAAAAACGTATTAGTTTCTATTCTTGGAGACTCCACCGGAAATGAGCCAGATCCAGAAAAAAAAAAAAAAAAAAAACAGCTTCTTCCACCCTCTTTATACACAATATTTTGTCAGATCATCAAAAAAATAAAAAAAAAAAGGGAGTCTTAAAGGGGAAGTGTGGTTGAGGTATTTGCATATAAACCTGATCTAAACAAGCAATCAGTCAAATAGACATATCACATGGTTTTATATTATATAACATTCACTTCCAAACACAAGTTCAGACACCAGCTCAAAGTTGGATTTAGTTTGGGTGGCAGGGTTGCTATTGAAATAAATCAGTATTACAACAGTATTGGTAGTTGTTGCTACTTCTTTCTCATCCATCCATGTAGACAGAACTACCAAGCAGTCTATGTTAAGCACAGAACACAGCGCTCAGAAAATTTCTATTTATTCCCTCTGCCAACTGGACAGCAACAGACTAATTAGTTGTTTTTTTTTTTTGTGGTGGTGGTTGTGGATTTTTTTTTTTTTTTTTTTTTTGGGGGGGGGGGGGGTTGGATTGAGACCAAGAGTTTCAGTATATATTATACTGAATATATAAATTACATAGAGTTTGAATCAAATAAACAACTCATCAATCAAGCATCTCTGGTTCATCCAAATAATATTCAGAAGCTTACTGACAGCCATTCTAATACTGGTTACCTAACCATTCATGCACGGAAGCCCCTCATAGATTCCCAACTATCCAATCTTTCTTAACAAAACTGCTGCTTGAAATAAGTTATACATGCAGTGGTACTCCAACATTAGTTTCCCTGTGAGCTAGCTTGATGGTTCTTCCTCCAGCAAACAATAATAGCCAGATATAGTATAGAGCTCTGCAAGTTAAACCCAACTTATTATCCACCCAAAATAGTAAACTGTTTGACATGTGAAAATAAAATAAAGTTAGAGTGCTAGTACATTAAAAATATATACATCCCAAACCAGAATAATTTTTTAATGGGAAACAAAATTTCATTCCTTAGAAAGATGAAAGTGTACAAAAATAGTGGATAAGAAATCCACCTACAAGAACAAAATAAAAAGAAAAAACAAATTTAGATCTACAAATAGCTTTCCAGTTATGTTGTGAACTAATAAAGGAGTGTGACAAAATTCATTAGTAACCACAGCTAAAAAAGAAGCCAAAAATTTCACTCTATCCCATAATAATTCTTTTTACCTCCTCATTTTCTTCAAAAATTCTGCGATTCCTTTCTGTCCACAACACCCAAAAAAAAGGCCAAAATAGCATATCTCAACAATGTAGAAGCTTTCTTACCCTTTCCAAAACCATCAAAACACATTAACAAAAGAGATGCATAACTAGGAAGAGTCACCCACACCAATTCCGCCGGCCAGAACAACTTATACCACAAGAAATGAGCTATGGGGTAATGAAGAAATAAATGATTCACACTTTCACCACTTTTCTTACACAACACACCGATGAGTAGAAATATAAGTGTTAGGCCTTTTCTTTTGCAACACAACACAAGTATTCAACTGAAATATCATCCAATCAAGCACCTGCACCTTAACGGGCACTCTTGCCTTCCAAATCACTGAGTGAGGTTCAAAATGGAATCAATTGGATCATCAATCAACCACTGGAAACAGGAGCAAGAATAAAAATTTCCAAAAGACTCAAGAGACCAAAACTTGTTATCACTAACCGTAGGATCCAAATTCCACTCATTAATATTACGAAAAAAAATCAAATTCCACCCCCTAAGGAAGAAAGATAAGAATTAAACACCCTAGACACCCGAAAATTAAGACCCTCGATAATCTAAATAGTTGTGGAAAACATGATGCTAAGGATGACTCGTCAATCCAATTAACTTCCCGAAAGCGGACTCTTTTCCTGTTTCTCACCTTCAAGGTAACATGCTTTCTAAATTTTCCAACCCGTGAGAAATAAGTTTTCAAGGCCAACGGAAGAAGCCTCGACTCACCACATGAGAGTCCCAACCATCGGCATGGATTCCATACTTACTTTTGACAATAGAATGTCACAAAGAATTAGGCTCCAATGAAAACCTCCAAAGTCACTTCCCCAATAATGTCACATTCCTCTGAACTAAATTACCGGTAGCCAACCCCCCTCTAGATTTAGACATTGACACATCTTTCGACCTAACAAGATGATTTTTCTTTCCTTTCCCACAGCCTTCTATAGAAAATCTCTCATCATTTTCTCTAAAAACTTAGTCACTTTTTTTGGAATCTTAAAAATCAACATAAAATACGTAGAAATACTGCCTAGAACCACTTGGATTAAAGTCAACCTCCTAGAATAAAATTGAAGTGGCACCAACGAGCATTGGAAAAGTTTAAAAGCTACTTTTCCAGTTTCAGAGTCCAAATATTCTGCCTCAACAAGTTTACCACTTTTGCCACTGCTGAGATGATAGAAAGAGTTCCTCATTTCACATTCAATATATCTCTTCTGCAGTTGTTGTATCATCTCTGTAGATTTTGGGACCCACCAACTTTTACCTCTAGGACAAAGCAGAATCCTAACAAGGAGACACTGCTACACTGACAAAAGTTGTACTGCAACACAACTTAATTAAATGAAGATATACGAGCAACCATAACCTATGATGAGAAAGGTTGCTGGCTTCCTGCCTTGTCAGGCTTTCTAGGAGAAAAGCTGCTAAGGTCATGAAAGATTGGCAAGTCCTGAATCTAAAAGCAAGAAAACCAGAGCCAGGTGATTGTAATTCACCACTGACAAACAATAGCGGTTCACATTACCCACAATACGTTCCCCCCCAAGAAGATACATGCAACTTAGGCCAATGTTAAAGGTCTTCAAAGGTAAATTCCATTTTACATGTAACCACTAAAGCATCAACATCTACACATCTTTAGATAAACAAACCCAAGAGTCGCTTCTAGAGAATAAAAACCAGACACAAAGGGTCTGTTCGGTTATGTACTCAAAAAACTATGTCGAAAAACATGTTTCCCAAAAAAATTTCAAGTTTCAACAAAAGTGGTTTCGGCGTTTGCTGTATATGGCAAAAACCGTTAGGTTACCATAGCTCCAAAATTGTTTTGCAACTTTTTTCAGTAAGAATCAACAAGTCAAAAAAATAATAACAAAAGAAAAAAAGTTAGTTAGAAAAACCAATCAAAGGTGAACAAGTTGTCCAACACAATGGGCTGAACTATGGAAGATCAAAGTCATAAACAAAAACAGTTGAACTTGAACTTACCTTCCGGAAAAAAAAAACAGTTGAATTTGTTAAAATAATTAACAGTTTCATTTGTTTGGATAGCGATTCTTAAAACAGTGAAATTGTTAGATGGGGATTGGATAGATTGGTTTTCTGAAACAAGAAAATATTCTTGTTTGGACCCCTAACCCAAGATGAAATTCTTGTTCGAACACATAATTCAACGATTACTGTGGTTCAGATCTGAACATTCTACATACCTTCATAGTTCACACCCCATGTGTTAACTATTTCCATTGTGCTTAAGTTAGGTTTTTCTTAACATATAATGCCAAGGACTGGGGTAGCAGCATATGGAAGGTCAACTGCATTTCCAACCTCAGAATCAATTGAAGTAATATGCAGGGAGCTACAAGAAAAACTTCATCTATCTCCTCTCAAATGCATGTGAACTACCATGAACTGAGCTCATTATCACCCAAAAACAAATTAGTAACTCTTCTTATCCAATAAATTAACACTCAAACAACCAGTTTAAATTAAACTAGTTTAGTATCAAAAAATTCCATAGCTTTTCAAGAATAAAAACAATTTGACATTCAAACCAGAGAAATAATATAAAAATTCAAAACTGAGTGGAAACACAGACTTTTTAATCAGAATCTAGTGCCAATGAGAGACGAGGTCGTGGAAACCAATGGAGTCCATGGTATTTTCGCCGTTGTGGAGGTCGTCATCCATGGACAGCGCCTCCAACATAGATCAACTACAGATCTAAGTTAAAAGCACACGAATGTGAGCATGAACAACACATGTCAATAAACCCAAATGGCGACAATGAAGAAAAGGACCAGAACGATTTTGCCCTGCAGAGGGTTGAGCCTAGATTCAAATGCATAAAGGTGGAAAAGTAGAAAAAACATATTTGGGATTCTCATACTTTATCCAAGTTTCTTTTCAATGAATCTGGCGACGTTTAGTAAGTGGAGGACGGGTGAAGCAAAGGCACAGTAGAGAGAGAGAGAGAGAGAAATTTCCTTTCACATTGGGAATTAAGTGTGCAGCAACTCAAATCTGTGTTTTCAGACACTCGTTTACGGAAGTACAAAAAGATATATATGTAGTGTTTCCCAAAATCAGCCCTCCAAAAAAATTCCCAAAAAACTTCTTGGAAAACAGCAAACCAAACGGCGTTTTGGTGTTTACTTGTATTTGACAACAAATTAACTGTTTTCAAGATAGAAATCAAACAGGCCCTATATTTCAAGTACTTGCAGAAAACAGAATATGAGAAATAGCCATATGTTTTGCTAAATTGGTAGCAAAATTTAAAGTCAAGTCAACAAAGTCCCCATAATTTTAAGCATTACCTAAGAACCCAAAAAAGAACTCCAAATCATCCAAAAATGATTACTTAAACTAAAAATCTTTCAAAGACAACCAAAGAATTGACTTTACAAATTGCTGCAGAATTATATGGCTAAATTAAGTCATGTCAACCCTGAAATGTTCATGTCAACCTATAGCTCCACGCAAGTCCATTTTTCTTTTCGCCTACGTGTTTTTGGATGAGAAGCAAAACTCCACGCATATTCTAATTTTATAATCTCAATTTTAGAAATTTTAGAATTACAGACAACTTGACAAAAAACTTTTCCACTCATTTATAGCTACCCCTTAAAGAAAACCCGAACCAGAGCATTCCAATCCAAACCCACTTTAAATAACAGTCCACCACCGACAGTCAAGCCGTAAGAAAATTATTAAACTCAACAATACCAAACCCTACGCGCATTACTTGAACACATCCTAACCATAATTGAAGCCAATCTAACGGCAAAAAAACAACTGATATGTGATATCCACATCCATTTGACAGACCCATCACTATCTACAAATTGAAACGTAAATAAAACTAAAATGAGAACAAGAACAGATAATAGAACTGATATATATGTGTGTGTGCATACTCTGCACATTCAACTTGAATATATGATTAAAGAACAGAGAAATCACCAGTAAGAGCTTAGCCATTGTCATTTTTTGACACCCTCGTAAGTGTAGACTCCCAAACTTTAGCGATAGAAGACTGATATGTCTAACAACAATAAACCAATCCAGCAAACATAATGTTCGAACTGCCAATGGGATTCCAAACCACAGACAGGAAAAAAGGAATTCCAAAGCTGCAAAGGCCTTCACAAACCAGCTCAGAGTTTCTTTATCGTCATACGCTGATGCCAATTTGCACATGCTCCTCCAAATGGTTATAGCACTGGTATATGTACCAGTTGTAGTGGTGGTGGTGGTGGCGACCCTACAAATTCAAGGATATTAGACTCGTGAGAACTCCACCAATTGTTGCTTCCAAGTGGGTAGAAAATGTTTGATCTAGAAAATAGCGGGAAAGAAGATATGCAAGTCATGTAAAATCCCAACTGATTACAGCCGAAATTCAGAATCACTAATGGGGTTCCTATTAGAAAAGAAAGAATTACTAGATTTTAGTGGCAAGTGAATTTTACCTTCCAGAGCAGAGGGTGGGACATTGACTTTCAGGAAGCAAATATTTTCTCTCCTTTAAGTGACCAATCTAAAATGGGTAGTAAACCATTGACTGGTTATTTAGACACAAGAAGCCCCAACAGGGGACTTATTGCCCATAAACTTCCCACTGACGAGAATATCATAAGTCGTATCATCAGGTACAAGTCCTCTGTCAAGCATCTCATCATGCAATCTAAAGGCCTCTTGCAAATTCCCCTCCCTGAAGTATCCAGCAATCAATGTATTGTAAATAAGAACACTAGGAACCATATTCTTTCCGTCCATCTCTTTCAAAACCTTGCGCGCATTCTCTACCTGTCCTTTGTTACAGAGACCATGTACCAAAACAGTATATGTGATGGCATCAGGCACAATACCCTTGGAAAGCATCTCTGTGTACAAATCTGATGCAAGGAGTATTTTCCCTTCTTTCAACAACCCATCAATTATTGTAGTGTATGTTGCCAAATCCAATGGAATTTCCTCTTGGATCATTTTGGTATGCAAAGCGAGCACTGCTTCCATGTTATTTAGATTTCTGAAGCCACTAATCATGCTATTATAAACAACTGTATTGGGAGACAACCCTACTTGAAGGAGTTCATCAAAAAGTTCAAGTGCACTTTCCATGTCCCTTCTTTTGCAAAATCCATCAATTAGGGCACTATATGCGGTAACATCTGATTCAAGGCCCTTGTTTCTCATCTCATTCCGCATCTTCAAAGCAAGATCAAGATTGTTGCTTTTGCAAAACCCATCAATCAAACTTGTGTATGTAACAACACTGGGGTAAACCCCACTTTCGCACATCTCTCTATATACAGCCAATGCAGAATTTATGGTGCCCTCCTTGACAAAACCATCTATAATGCAATTGTAAGTCATACAGATTGGAACAAAACCATTCTCCACCAACTTCTTCAGCATGCTTCTAGCATCATATGTTCGTCCAACTTTGCACAAACCATTGATAACAGTATTTAATGTGATGTCAGTGGGAGTGATGCCCACACCCTCCATTTGGTCAAACAACTCAAGAGCTCGTTCAGGCTCACCTTTTCTGAAATAGCCATCAATTAAAATACTATATGTGACTACATTAGCTCTCAAACCCCTTGGCAGCATATCAGAAAATAAATTTAAGGCCAAGTCCATATCACTTTTTTTGCAGTGGCCAAGTATTAGATTGTTATAAGAAACTACATTTGGTTTCACTCCTTTATTCACCATCTTGTCCCACACACTGCAAGCTTCATCCATCCTGCCCTCTTTACATAGCCAGGATATCAGATTATTATACGTAAAAACATTAGCAATATCATGCTCAACTGCCTCATCAAATTGTTTGCTAGCCCCCTCCCACAGCCCAACATTCAAGTATCCCCGTATGATAGAATTCACATTATAGACACTTGGCTGGATATCTGCACATTTCATTTGGGCGTATAACTCACATGCCTTTTGCATAGCTCCATTTCTACAGCAGCCCTCAATCAAAACCGAGTAAGTGACCTTATTTGGAGTGAGTCCATCCTCAACAATCTTATCAAACAAATCCAAACCCCTGCTCAAATCACCCTGCAGATAATACCCCTTCATCAAACTAGTTGCAACCACCAAATTCATCAAGTGCCCACTACTAACCATTTCATCCTTTAGCCTTAAAGCCTCAACCATTTGTCTCTGCTTCACACAAGCAGTAATTACACTCGTGAAAGTGCCCTCAGAAGGGACCCACCCCATTTTCTTCATCTCATTCAACAGTTCGCATGCAGAATTAGCATTGGGAATCTTACAAACTGCCTGAATAGCAGTACTATACATCGCTGCATCAAGCTTTATCCCACCAGCCTTCGCTTCCCTAAAGAACCCTTCCGCCTCCTCAACCTTTCCTTCTTTCAAACACGCCCGCATCATCACATGTACGGTGATACAATCATGATGAATTCCTTCCGAAACTATAAAATCATATAAATCTCGAGCTTCATTAATCATATTCTTCCTAACCAGAGCAGTCAATAACATATTTACAAATGCAACCCACGGAGTTATATCACAATGGATCATTCTATTTATACATAGAATAGCATCATCATATAGATGCAATCTAACATAAGTGTTCAACAAATAATTAAAAACCCGCGAATCAAATTCAAATAGAGATTCAAAACCTTTGAATTTCTCAACCAAGTGATCAACAAGAACATTAGCTGCGGGGACTGAACCACCCAAAATGCACTGATTAAGTAAACTCCGAGCAATTCCCCGATGGTTCGGTGAACTTACCAAAATGTGGAGCAATACACAGAAGGACCCAGCAATGCCACGGACAAAACCGGGTTGCTTCTCAGCCCATTTGTAGTATTTCAAGGCTGAATCAGGGTCATTCTTGTGGCTTAAGAGAACTTCCATGACATGGGTTTGCGTTAAAACAGTGTCTTGCAAAATGGGTTTGGATGAATAGTAATATGGATGAGTTGGGTGTGTTGTTTTACTGGAAAACTCAGTGTCCGATGTAGGTTTTACCGGCAAAGAGGGGTTTTTGGTGTTTGAAAGCTGAGAATCTGAGGTGGGATTTTGGGTAAAGATGAGGCCTTGAGACTGTGGGATTGAAGATGAACATAGAGATCTGCAGGGTTTGCGAGAAAGATTCAACCATGGTGAGATTGGAGAAGAAGTTAACCGGATTCTCATGATCTGTTTACGCAGTTGAATACGAAGGCGGCGTAGCAAGGAGGATGTACGTCAAATTCAAGAACGAATCTATTTTTTGCCAGCAATCAAGACGCACAAATCTCTGTTGAATGGGAGCACTAACACATTTAGGCGGCAGCAATGGTGAACATCAAGACTCCGGTGCAAATCTCTGCGTAAATATCATGACCCAACTTTGAATTGTTTCATTTCAAATATGGTTAATCGTAAATTACACCAAAAGCTCGCTCAAATTTTAATTTTTGATCTTCAAAGGTAAAATTTTATATTAATTTGTACCCCTAAAGATTAAAAATCTCAATTTTTACCTTCAAAGATAAAAATTTATATCAATGTGCACCTAAATCTAACTCATCATAAAACTAAATTGATAAATTATATCTTGATCCCCTCATGTTTGTCACTTAATTATTTAGACCCCTTCACATTTAGAATATTACTCCTACATCTTATGGCGTTTATGCACGTGTAACATGTAACCCCTTTTCGTTGATATCTATTAATATAACTGTTAAAAAATATGATTTTATCATAATAAAAAATTATAATTTCATATTACCCTTTTTTTATGGGTCTAATATACTCTAAAGTTTAAATTCAAATTTACTATTTGAATGTTCAATAAAATAAAGAGTTGCACATTGAGTGATATATTACAGTGGATATAAAAAAAAATATTATACAAATACCTACATTTTATTAGACATTCAAATGGTAAACTTAATTTTAAACTTTAGAGTATATTAGACCCACAAAATATATGATAATATGAAATTATAATTTTTTATTATGATAAAATTATATTTTTTAACGATTATATTAACAGATATTAACGAAAATGAGTTACGTGTTACACGTGCACAAACATCATGAGATGTAAGAGTAATAATTTAAATGTGAAGGAGTTCAAATGATTAAGTGACAAGCATGAGGGAATCTAAGTATAATTTATCAATTTAGTTTTAGGCAGTAAACTAACGCCAATTAATTTTGGGTATACATTTATATAAATTTCTATTTTTGAAAGTATAAATTGAGATTTTTTATCTTTAGGAGTGTACAGTAATATAAATTTTTATCTTTGAGGGTATAAATTAAATTTTTAATCTTTAAAAGTATAAATTAAAATTCGAACGATCATTTAAGGTACAATTGCAATTAACTCTCTCAATTATTTATAGGGAAATCAACACCAGAAAAGCATGTTAGCAACAGTGTTAATTTGTTGGTTGCCAGTTTTTGGATAAACAAATTTACTGTGATAGAGTAAATAGAACGACGCCATCTCAAGGCCAATTTTGGGGACAATACGGTACTATAGGAAATTGGCTAAATTGTGACATTTTTGGCTAATAGCACACAATGTTGTTCCCTCCTAATAGCAGCGAAGCCGCACCCGTCACTTTACACTCTAAAAAATTTTAAAATTTTTAATTTATATTTTTAGTGATTTTTTTTTATATTACATTTTTAATATTATAAAATAATTATAATATAACCCTCGTACTAAGTTTCATTATCATTTTTGTTAATTCTCATTTTTATTTAATGTGGGAGGTTATTAAGGCTGTCAATTTTTGACACGACACGAACCGAACACGAAATAAATAGGTTGAACATGAAGTCAACACGTATAAATACAAAAAAAAAAGCAGGTTGGGCTCATGTCGAATTCAGGTCAATTCGATTTTGACCTGATTAACCCGTATATTTTAAACAGGTTAATATAATTCGACCCAAACCCGACCTACCCATTCCTTACCTGTTTAACCCATTTATCCAAATACATAAAAGCAACAAAAAAAACATAACCCTAACCCACCTCCATTTTTCCCTTTTTTTCCCCTTTTTCACTCTCACCCGCCGCTGGTCGCTTTGTCTGGAAGAGGAGAGGAGGGCTCACTGTTCAAGAGCCCTCGTCATTCTTGTTGTTCATGCCTACATCGTTGCTCAACCGAAAAGGTTTGTCCCTCTTTCTGTCTGTCGTTGTGTTCTCACTCTCTCTGCGTGCTGCGACTCAATCGAATTATAAAACAGTTAGATTCGGATTACAGCACACAACACTCATACATTCTCTTGGCCACAAGTTGTGTAGTATTTTCCCTTGCTTTTTATTTGTGTTGGGTTGTTTTTAATTTTGTGAAGAGGGAGGGTAGACAAAAATAGGAGGATAGGCATAACACAAATCATTTATCACAACATGATGACCATCAACCCATCAAAAAAGAGTTAAAGACAAATTGAAGTATGCTATCAGATGCTTTAGGCCTCAAGTTATCTACATATCTAGATGGTCCAATCATTCTTACTCTCACGAAATGCCCCTCAGGTCTGTCCCTCTAGTTTCATTCAACTTCAACAGTTCTATTAAAAGATCTCAAAGTAGACAACTGATGTAGATTAAAGAAATCGTACCTAACATGACAGCCCTCATTTTCTGCGCATTACACAGCACACAACAGGAAGATTTATTGGAACTTGCTTACATTTTTCTCTACTTACCTTTATAAGTTGTATTGGAAGTTTGTGTATTTTTTTTTGTATTTTGACCAAAAATGTACTGCATTGTATGTGTGTTATATATTTTTCTTACATATTTTTTTTTGGCATTTGTGTTGGGAACAGATGAATTCACTTCCATTGAATGACGAACACATTGATGGACCTGCCCCTGTAGCTGATGATGTTGCCATAGCTGAATCAAATCATGCTTCTGATATTCAAGATAGGCTAGAACTGGATGGTGTTGATAAACCAACAAATAAACGTCAACGAAGGTTCACCTCAAAAGTATGGGGAAACTATACTTTTCTTAAAGAACCAAGTCCAGAAAGATTGCTGAGATGCGAATATAAGAAATGTAGCAAGTTTATAATATTGATAGTAAGCACGGCACTAGGAATTTCAAGTGACACACTGCAACTTGTTTGAAGTGAACCACCTATGATATTGGTCAACTACTTATAACCCAATCCAATGGTGCTTTGGGATCTAGGTATTTTAAATTTGACGTAGGGAAGTTTAAAGAGTTATTGATTTATGCAATTGTTAAACATGAACTTCCATTTCAATTTGTTGAGTATGGTGGCATTAGAAGTCTTTTCACCTACTTATGTCCCCAAGTCATACAAATTTCTAGGAATACTGCTAGCGTGGAAGTTATGAAACTGTATGCTATATCAAAAGGGAGGATTTCTCAAGAACTGCAAGACTTGCCTGGTAGGATTTGTTTAACTTCTGACTTGTGGACTTCTATTGTTACTGACGATTACTTGAGTCTCACTGCACACTACATTGATAAAGATTGGGTGTTGAAAAAGAGAATTCTGAATTTCTCTTACATGCCTCCTCCCCATACTGGAGTTGCTTTGTATGAGAAGATTTATAGTTTGTTAAATAGTTGGGGTATTGAGAAAAAACTATTTTCACTTAGTTTAGACAACGCAGCTGCAAATGATGTGTTGGTTGATTTGCTTAAAAATCAACTTAATCTGCAAGATGCATTGTTGTGTGATGGTAGTTTATTTCATATCCGTTGTTGTGCTCATATTTTGAATTTGATAGTTCAAGAAGGTTTGAAGGAAATAGGTGAAGTTGTTGAAAAGATCCGGGAATGTGTGAAATATGTAAAGGGATCTCAAGTTAGGAAGAAAAAATTCTTGGAATGTGTTGCACAAACATCTTTGGATAGGAAGGAACTTTGAGGCAATATGTTCCAACTAGGTGGAATTCAACCTATCTCATGCTTGCAAGTGTCATTTACTATCGTCGTGCATTTTCTCATTTGCAACTAAGTGATTCTAATTTTAGACATTGTCCAACTCAAGAAGAATGGGATAGAGTGCAAAACATTTGTAGGTTCTTAGAATCTTTCTATGATACTACTTGTGTTTTTTCTGATTCCAAGTATCCTACCTCAAATTTATACTTTCCAGAAATTTTCTTGATTCAACTTAATTTAAGTGAAGAGATGAAAAATTCGAATGTTTTCATGAGGAGGATGGCACATCAGATGTTTGGGAAATTTGATAAGTATTGGTCAGAGTATATTAGTATAGTTCTTGTTTTAATTTTTGGATTGAAACTTAAATGCATTTTAGTTGAATAGGTTAAATAGGTGCAAGATCAGATTTGAGGTATTTGAGATGTAGTAGCATCAGAGATGCAGCCCAACTGAAGGTTTTACAGCTATTAAAATTCTAATGCATGATTTTACATGTAAATTTCTAAAAGCAGAAACAAGCAATGCAGTTGAAGTAGACATCAGTTAAAGTAGGCAGTGCAGACAGCAGTTAAGAAGCAAGCAATGCAGTTGAGAAGCAGTTGATTTTCTGGCATTAGTTTTGTGACACTGATTTTCATCATTGTCAACCTATTTTTTTAACGGCTATAACTTCTTGTACATCCATGATGACAAGGTTGCATGCCAAATGATTTTGGACAAAATGGGATTAAAAGGTTATCAGGTAACATTTGATTATCAGAATTTTTCCCTTAATATTTAAGAACTTCCATTGTTTTGGTTTTTAGAAATTGCAATTGAGAAGCATCCAGCTAAAGCAGAGCAGCTGAGTAGCAGTCCAACTGAAGCAAAGCAGTTGAGAAGCAATCCAGTTGAAGCAGAGCAGCTGAGAAGCAGTCCAGCTAAGCAGAAATCGCATACAACAGCTGTGAAGTGTCTAGCTGAAGTAGAAAAACAACTGATTTTTTACTTGATTAAATTTGTGTTTTAGATTTTTGCCTTCTGATTTGGAGGGTGTTGTGCGACAGTCAAGTGAAGCAAATGTTGGATTAACGTTTCGTCAGGAGGATATAAATTGAAATCAATTACTACCACTCTCCCTCTTTTTCTCTCTCTCTGCCCTGGTTTGTGTTTATCAATATTTCACCATTTTGTTGATAATTCTGTCTTATTTCTTCTTATCATATTTCATATTCTCTTAAGAGATGCACACACACATGGACATGACGAGGCATATTCATTTAATCTTTGTCAATGAGTAATAAGTTCTACTGGCTTATGAAAAGTTTCATACTATGAACTCGTGTTTTGAGTGACCAAGATTGACTGGATTAACATGTTCTTTTCTTTAGGAATGCTAGTGAACTTGCTCTTAAGCTGCTTGATTTATATAAGTTTTTTCTTACTTTTACCTTGAGGTTAACGTTGAACAATTCATCTTTTTCTACATGTAACATATCTGAGTCAATTTGTCTTCTTGTGGGCAATTCATGCATCATTATTTAATGATAAGGGCTGAATGGTTGGGATGGGATTTGTAAAACAGCTAATGTTGTGCTATTTGCTGGCATGGGATTGAAACTATTTTACTGAGGGTGCTGACTTCTGGTTCTGGACTTGATTTGCAAGGTTTAGGCCTTAAGCTGTTGGTGGGCAATGCAACTGGTTTTTCAACTGTTGCAGTCGGTGTAGGGCTGCTGACTTCTTGTTGTTATGCTCTATCAGTTACTGTTATTGGTGTGCTGATCTGACTAGAGGGCAGTCTGGGCTATTTTCCAGCTAATTCAGCATTTGTAGTAGATGGGCAGTGGATCAGGCAAGGCAGATGCTGAGCTGCAGAGGAAAGAATAGTTGTTGTACAAGGTCTTTTTCTCTTGTACAGTTGACTGTTTTGGTTGTTAAACTGGTACTGTTTTGCTAAAATAGTTCCAATTTTTTTTGCTTCTTCTAATTGTTTGGATTTTATGAAATAAAATTACAAACGTGTTTGCCTTTAAAAAAAAATAAAAAATGGGCTGCAGTAGCTTGTAGCCTGCTTGAAGTTTCATCTGAAGAAAGAGTGAGAGGAGAACTCTAATATGTGGGTTAAATTGTGTAGGCATTGAAAGCTTGTAGTCTGCTTGTAGCTTCCTGCTGGACTTGCTGGAGCTTGAATGATTTTTTTTTCTTCATGTTTTGAAGGATTAAAGCCATTTAATTGGACATGGATGTTAGGAAATGGTTTTCTTTTGCTTCTTGTAATTCTTTGAATTTTATTTAATAAAATCTTTTGATTTTTTTTAAAGGTGTTAAACAAATAGAATTTAATTTGTGGGTTAAACAGGTTAAAATATCGAGTAATGTGTTGACTCAAAAATGACCTGTTTATTAAACGTGTCAAACATGTCAGGTTCGAATAACACGTTTAATAGCCAGGTCAGGTTAGTGTTTACACATCTCGACACGATTATTAAACATGTCAGGTTAGTGTTTAGGAATTTTTAACACAAACACGAAACAAACCGACACGAAATGACTCAACCCGATACGTTTGACATCCTTAGGGGCTATACATAGTAGATTGGACAAAAATTATAACAAATGTCATTGCAAAAACTAGGTCTTGTTTGGTTTGTGTCTCAAAAAATAGTATCTAAATATTATTTTTGGAAAGAATTTTAAAAAATTATTTTTGGTGTTTTTTGTGTCGCAGAACTTATTTGGTTATATAATTCCCAAAATAATTTTACGAAATAAAAAATAATAAAACTTGTTTGGACAATGTCTGAAAAAATAATAAAAATTAAAAACATAAATGTGATGATAGTAGAAGTGTAGTGTGGTGGTGGTGGTGTTTTATAAATTCTAGAAATTATATTTCTAAAAATACACAAAACAATTCTAAATTGTTCTCTAATAAATCTACCCAATTTTTGTTCCTAGTTTTCAAAAAATAAAAACAAAAAATAACTTGTCAAATAGTTTTCTCCCAGAAAATGTTTTTGAAAATCAATGGTCATATTTTACTTTCTTTTAAATTTGGATTTCTCTTTCTTTAAATTTGAATTTCTCCATTTGAGAGGGCTATACCAAATCAAGTTTTTAACCTTTTTTTTAACTCAAATTTGGGTAAAAATTTAAGTTTATATTAGAAATGGTCTAAAATTAGAACCGTTTCAACCAATGCGACGAAATTAACTTGATATTTTTTTAACTATTTTTTTTAATCCGACATTATTACTGGGAGGGTGGCAAAGTTCGAACTAAAAATAGATAAAAAGTTTGATTTAATATAGACCTCTTCAATGAATAAATTTATTTGTATACTCAAGCTTCTCGCCACTAGTGTGAAGGTATTCAATTTATTCAATCAATCATTGTTTTTTAAACATAAAATAGCATAAAGTATAGACAAAACCACTTCATGTAATACATAATTTCAATTTCTCATTTTCCCTACGATTTTCACCCAACCAAAACAGAATAAGAATCAAATTCATAAACTTAGTATCTAATTAAAAAATTAAATAAATTTTTTAATATAAATTTATTCTCTCTTCTTATATTTTATCAACAATAAAACAAAGTAAAAGTTTCCCCAACAAAATATAGTACCTATTGAATTATTTTGGTGTAGCAGAATTCTTCATTTTCTTCATTAAATAAATGAAAATCTTTTCAAGGTATATGGTCTTGAGCCTATTAGCCTTCTCTATCCCATTTTTTTGCACAAGAACTATTCTAGCTGATAGTTTTGACTAAATGATGATGAAAAATGCTATTTAGACTTAAAATGTGTACTTAAAAATTACAACCATTAGAACCCACAGCGAAATTAATGATTGAGATTATCAAATACATTTTTTAAGTTCACTTTTTAAGTCCATGTAACATTGCTCAAATGATAAAATAGAAGATTGTCCCTATGTCTCTAGTTTTTCTAAGTGAGGTGATTTAGTGGGGATACAAAAAGGTAAGAGAATGTTAATATGTCATAAATCTATATCTATATCTATACTACTAATAAAAGTACACTATTAAGAAAAAAAAATTATTGACTACTTTAACCCTAAAACAATATATAAAGACAATACTAGCCTTATTTAATTTAAAACTCATATTAATAAGACTAAATTGGTGTTAAACTTTTAATTGGATAACTTGACTCTCACAATACTAACATTATTAATATGGAATTTATATTAATAAAACTTCATTAATATTACACATATTCGAGTCTTTCATATTCTTTCTTTTAAAAGATAAAAATGAATTGTTAAACTAATTAAATTTACTATTATTTATTTCTATCTATTTTCATTAATTGATGATAAGTATCTGAATTTTCAAATGAATTTGCATAAATGCACTAGAGTCTTATTTAATATAAGATTTATTTCAATATAATTTGGATAATATTATCAAACCCTTACTTTTCATTTTCTTCTCTTTTATATTTTAGTTTTAATAAATCCTCTTTAGTTATATTTATTGGTAATACTAGAAGCCATTTTATTTGTATAGATTAGCAATGCTACGAATATGTTCAATATTACATTAAATTATTTATCACAACTTAACTTTTTAAATTTGTTCAACCAATTGTTTATAATTGAATGACCACCATAACTTAAAATAGTTCACTTCCATATTTTTCATAATTTAATAAGAGTTTGTGATACTTTTTAGTTATATATACCCACATACTATAAAATATATTTATATCATTACTATGATGTTGCAAATAAAATTAATCTAAATAATTAATTTCATGTGAAAGGTTATAAACTTTAATGATAGATATTTACAAGAAGGTAATGCATCAAACTTAAGAGCAAATAAAACAATAAAAACTAATATTCATTCGTTCTGCAAATTTGTAGTGTTATGTCCATAACAAATTACACAAATTATATAATAGAAATATTCAAAAGGTTAGATTTATAAATAGGTATTTGCTATTATATTTATTTAATTATTTCAAAAAACAAAATCATAACTTAAAAAGTCCACATGCAAAGCACGTGTGCACGATCTAGTTACTAATAAAAGGAAGTTAAGTGAAAAACTTTTGATTGACTATAATATCCTTCATAAAACATATAATTCCTTTTTACAATTTTTTTTTATCTTCTCCAATTAATTACATACTCCTCTCCTATCATTTTATCTCCTTAAATTAGTTATGTACATATACTTAATATTCACGTATTCATTTCAACTTTAATTATTGATTTTAGCTCTAAGTGCACTACCACCTTTTTGTTTTCCCACATAGTGGACTCCCTAATTTTTGGTCTTCTAATTCTAAACCTATGAATTTATTTAAGGTTTTAATGTTTTTAAGTCAATAGTTTTTTGTGGCTACAAGAAAATTTGAAAATGTTCTCCTAATTTGATATTTGGGTTTTATGGACATGAAAAAATCAAGAGTTTATGGTAACTACAAAAAGATTTTAAAACTTTTTCCATCTTTTTTACTAGATTTCAAGAATTGTTATAAAAATGTTCTTACTTGATGTGAAATTATCCTCTTTATATCGTAAAAATCAATTTTTAAGCAATTACCTTTGTCCTTATTTATATGTGTGAGGGCTTACAATTTTTCCAAAAATAAAAAGAGCTTGTGACTTGTACTTGTTTGGTGATGGTTGGATAATTATTTTTAACTTCAACTCTTCAATTTTTTTTTTCATTATATCTTGGAAAAAATATTTTAAGAAATCTACAAAAGCATTGAACAACAAGTAATTAGAGAAAAAAGATTTTGTAATTCCCTTTTCAAGTGAGCATGTCATGTATATGACATAACTGCGTGTTAGATAGTCTATCTCTTCATTGGGTGTACATT